GGATGATAGAGTAGAATGGAAGAATTATATTTACGGCGCCGACCCCAAAAAAAATATTGGGATGAGGTAGGGATGGTGATCTCTCGCGGCGGTAAGACCCGTTATGGAGGATTGGCTCGAGAGGCGTCACGGGACCCTCTCATACCGACTGACGCAGGTGATCACTGGGAAAGGATGTTTCGGGGATCACCTGTGTCTGATCCGCAAGGAGCCAACGCCTGAGTGCCACCACTGCGATGGCCAGACCGTGGACACGGCTCTCCACACGCTGGCAGAGTGCCCGGCGTGGGTTGAGCAGAGGCGAGACCTCGTGTCGGCCATTGGAGTGGGAGTTCTCTCGCTCGATAGCCTGATTGCGGCTATCGTGCAGAGCGAGAGTGCGTGGAACTCTGTAGCGTGTCTCCTTCGAGCGAGCATAAATTGCGAGCAAGTTATGCTCGCGAAGGAGACGGCGGAGCGGGACCGGGAGAGGTTTAGGACTCTCCCGGCCCGGGAACGGGCCAGGTACCGCAGGCGACTCAGGCGCCGGAGGTCGCAGAACGACCTCCGTCCTCCATAAGTGCAGGCCTGGGGGTGACAGATGAGGCCATCTGTCACCCGAGCAGAAGCAGGCCCGGGTTGGCGGCGAGCGCGTTGCGAAGCGCGCTCGCTTCCAGGGAGCACAGGGAACATGGGGTTCCCACACGGGGGGGGGGGGGGGTCGTCTACTCGTCTGTAGATGACCCGAGGTATGTCGGGGCACCAGGGACTTCCTTTCTAGGGTATACCTGGTTCCCCGGCTATTAGTACCCGAGACGGCGTGCGGTTTTAGTCGGTTCGAGTCCGACATGCCACCGACAGGTGGTATCCGAGGGGATTTCCGCACGGAAAAAAAAAAAAAAAAGGGATGGCGATCTCAATAAAGTATTTTAAAAAGCATACCAAAAAGTATAATAAGAACTTTTCAAGACAATTCATTGTAAACTTTGCCAAAACATTAAAAAATATCTACTTATTGAAAATCCTACATTACATTACAAAAATGTTTTTATTATCAGTCACTAACATGTTAGAAGTCCAAAAAAGGGACAACCTACTGTAAATCTTTATTTTTACAACACAGTTAAATCTAAACTCACCCACGACAGTTTAAAAGTTGAGAGAAAGTTACCAAAAATCAGAATTGAAAATTGCTAAACTAAAATTGACTCTGGTTTGTTAGTTAGTAGTGTTCAGTTGTTTCTAAATAACTATTTGACTTTTATTTTGCAATGAGAATCAAAATATGACTGGTAAAGAACTCAGGCAACAAGTACTATAACAGTAAATAAAAACTTATTATTGTTGGTGTTCATCCAAATCGAGCGTTTACAGTGACGGAGACAACACAGCTACAGCGAAAAGGAACTAAGTGGCCAACAGTTGGACACCATTTTTTTTCGTTGCTTTTACAGATTTTGATTGTATCTAAACGTACTTATGATATACGATGAAAGGCTTCTCCCTACTCTATACTTTAAAGTGAACACATTTCTCACTTACCTACCAAAAATACATCAAATCGACAAATGTATTATTCCGAAATATTATTATTATTAAGAAGCATTTTGTTTCTTAAAAGAGACTTTATCACTTGTATATATTGTCTTATTTTATACTAACAAATGATCTTGCTCATATATATAATATTATTGCAGTTATTTGTCTTGGAATTAGACTTGCAACGAATATTCGGTTACTATTCGGTATTCGGCCTATTCGGCTGCTCTTATTATATTCGGCCGAATACCGAATATCTACATATTATTCGGCCGAATACCGAATACTTAAATAATATATTTTGTCATTGAAAATAATTGGTAAAATGAAAAATTAAAATCGATTGATTACGTATATATTCATATTTTCATTTCTGTTATAATCATTTAAGTAGTCATTGGTGCATAACACAGGTACATAATCATCTTCTGAATTGGAAAAATGGAGGATTCTATGTATTTGAATTATTGTGGTAATCAAAATTTAGAAGGGTAAGGTTCTCATTTCTTTTATAATCATTTATTAAGTAGTCATTGGTACATAAAACAGGTACATAATTTAATTCACGTCTGTACAAGTTTTTGGCGCTAAAATCCAGCCGAATACTTTTGCCTAATATTCGGCTATTCGGTCAGGGGCCTCGCCGAATATTCGGTATTCGGTATACTGCCGAATATACTATTCGTTGCAAGTCTACTTGGAATCGAACCAACGACATCTCAAAGCAAAACGACATCTAAAGTAAAATAATAAACTCAACATCCAACATTGACTGTAATGTGATTATATCGTATTGTCACCGAAAATTGAATCGGTAATCTGCTAATCTTAGTAATACTTTACTATTTTACTACGAAAATACATTTCATGATAGTTGCGAAATCGAAAGTTGATCGGAATTGAATTTTGACCGAATTTTTATTAATAGAATTAGCCTATAGGTCAGTAAAAAAAAATTGTGGGTAGTTGCGAGAACTTTTTTACGAGCTTGTCAAATAGGGACCGTAGCCGCCATTTTAACTCTCGCGTTTTGTGTAGATTGCTGTCAAATGCTTGTTAGTTTTTTTATGTTTGTTTGTAATATAGTTTTTATAGTATCTAGGGCTTTGCCCTAGAAAAAACGATCATGCCTTCATGTTGTTTTAAAGAGTGTGATGCCGACAAAGAGAATAAGGAACCAGCGTTGACCCTTTACAGGTTAGTAACCGGTTTAATTTTAACGAAAATTTTGAGTTAAATGTTAAGATTTTAGTTTAATGAAGGTGTTTTATTAAATACAATCTTTTTTTTGAAAAGGTTTGTTAGTCTCATGAAGTATTTTATGTCTTAATTTGCTTTGTTTGACTTAGAGTTATTTACACATGAAGAACAAAAAGTACAAAAACGAAGTTTACTAGTGATGGTTGCGTTCAAATTCGATAATTATATATTTAAATAGTATTATTTAATAAAACAATAATCAATCACACTAATATTAAAGAGACGAAAGTTTGTGAGCGTGTGTGTTTGTATGTTTGTTACTTCTTTACGCTCAAACGGCTGAACCAATTTTTATAAAACTTGGTAAGGAGGTAGCTGACACCCGGGGATGTAGTGTTCCCGTGGGATGAGCAAGGAATTGAAATATATTTGATAAGTTCCTATGTTACTCGCTGATAATGTAGCTTTCCATTGGTGATAAAAAAAAATCGGCTAAGTGGTTTAGGAGTGAAAGCCTAACTAACAAACAACCCCCTTTACATTTTCCGATATATGTTAAATGGAGTTTTCTTCGTCAGATTTCCTGTAAATGAAAATTTGAGGCAAAAATGGATAGACATCATTGGTATAGAAAATATAAACCCGCGACGTAAAATGTGGTACGTCTGTTCGAGGCACTTCCACCAACGAACGCTCTGCCGTACTCTTGGCGTAACGAGATTACGTGACTTCGCAGTGCAATTACCTTCTCTAATAGTTGGTATTTTATTTTTAATGTATCTTGTGTGGTGACGGATTAAGAATACGGAGTGTCACCACCCCTATTCATCCCGTGGGTGTCGTAAGAGCCGACTAAGGGAGTAAACTACGCAGGACAACAGCACTGCAAAGAGAAGGAAAAGTTGAAACAAACCCTATACCAACCCGTCTGGCCAGCGTGGTATAGTAGGCCAAAACCTCCTTTCTAAGGAGAGGCCTATGTCCAGCAGTGGACTGTTATAGGCTGTTGATGTGATGATGATGTGTGTGGTGACGGATCAAGAATACGGAGTGTCACCACCCCTATTCATCCCGTGGGTGACGAAAGTCCAGCAGTGGACTACTAAAGGCTGTTGATGATGATGATCTTGTACACAATGTACTTATCGAATCCGATATGATAATGGTTGGGGCTGACAGCGGACGGGGCGGGACCACCACGGACCGATATTGATTGAAATGTACTAAGATGGGTCTTGTTAGACATCTACATTTTAACAAGTATGACTCGATTTCTAAGGTTCTGAAACTGTACAAAAGAGGTGTAAAGTTTATTTTTAGAAATATCTAAATTTTTTTTTACTTTAATTAACTTTATACACTCAACAAAACATCATCAGACTATACTGAATGTAAAATTAAATAAATTATATACATGCCTATATAATTCTCTATATTATTATTCTATAGGTACTCACACCCACATATAAACATATAGCTGTACCCTGCCACGCTTAGGTGTGGCATATTGTGCCAGAAAAGTCCAATGATTGTCGACTCAGAATGATGGTCTGAATACACTATTTCAGTGTTCGTTACGACGTCCCTTACACTGTATATAAATAAAGATATATATACATTACATGATATTTGTGCTGGTGTATATTTATATGTATACATACACAAAAATATACACACGGCAACAAATTGATAACTGTTGATGGCAAACATCTAGTGCGAAGGGGCAAATCGGCTGTTAGCGTTGTGACGTCACACTATGTGTAACATGTAATGCAGTGTGGCTACACGTCGCCAATAATATAATTTTTAATGTTTGCTGTATTTATTATTTCATTTCATTAGCTATCCTTTTATACTCATTATTTCTACAAATTAATTTCGGTATTTCACATGTTCCAGACGTCCAGCGATAGCTCAATTTTTTTCATCTACGTATCTACAAGATCTCAGAGGCTTAAAATGTAAAATCTTTTAAAACTATCACAGACTTCATTGTTCTTAAACCATAATGAATGTTAATAATAAACCGTGTTTCTTCTTTATTTCTTAATTTTAGACCCTTGTGGGTGGTATTTTTCTTCATAGCCAAATGAATGTCCGATTATCCTCTACGATAAAATAAAAAATCCAAATCTGCCTAACCTCGCCTTATCCCCCCTCTAGTTTCAGGGTGGGGGAACTTAGAGGCTGGCTACTTCATCTGCATCATCTTAAATTAGCTTCAATAACTTGCTTTTTTATTGCAGCTGGAAAAAGACATGGCGAATTACTGTAAGTATAAAATGGGATTCAGTCAAAAAATACTCATGGTGGATGGTGCTGTGCCTTCTAAATTTCACTGTCAAGAAGATCGTGCGAAGAATAAAATAAATGTAAGAAAAGATTTAAATATAGACAGTAAGAAAAAGTTTGTTCAGAAAAACTGGGAACATCTTCATCAATATCAAGAAGTCGATGGTATAGAAACACTAGGTATGTAAAATTAAGTAAATTTACTAATAATAATATATACTTATACAAGAGCCGACTAAGGGAGCTAATTACGTAGGACAATAGCGCTGCATAGAGGAGGAAAAATTAACACAAACCCTATACCAACTCGTCTGGCCAGTGTTATTAGAGCTTATGTCCAGCAGTGGTCTATTATAGCCTGTTGATGATGACAGTATTAGCTTTCTTTCGCGGCTCCGCCCGCGTGTATGTCGGTTATAGCAGTAAAAAGAAGCCTATCTCCTTTCTTAAGAATCAAAGTATCTCCATGCCAAATATCAGTAAAATCCGTTTAGCGGTTTAGCCGTGATAGCTTAACAGACAGAGCTTTCGCATTTATAATATTAGCAGGGATTCCATTAAAAGTGCCAATTTTTGCTGAAAATGGGACTTAAATTATTGTTGGCAGAATTTGAGCGTTTAATACGTCTCTGCTTCTCCTTCGGTTTTATAAGCATGAAGATATTTGATGTGGTATTTTATTTATTCATGTTTTGTGTTAGAAATTATCCCCCAGACCGAAAGTGATGCGTTGATCGAAGTTCATCCATGCGATGAGTACAACAGAGAGAAAGAGAAGGAGGCTCTGCAGACAAGTAAAAATGATGCCATGGAAATCATTCAGGTAACTATTCCTCATAGTAGCCGAAATACGTCTAGTGCTGTAAATAGAACTCCCCCCAAAGGTCACAACAACCGGTCCTGTGCTGCCCGTATTCGACTCCTTCCCGCGACCTTCACAAGATTCTGTAGATTCTGTAGATCGGCACAGGCATATAATAGATTTTCTATAGGTATACATTTCACAGTGTGGTGAGGGATTAAGAATACGGAGTTTCACCACCCCTAATTATCTCTTGAGTGTCGTAAGAGCCGTTTAAGGGATAAAGGACTACGCAGGACAAAAGGAATTCTAAGAGGAGAAAACTTGACACAACCCCTATATAAAACCCGTCTGGTCAGCGTGGTATAATAGGTCAAAACCTCCTTTCTAAGGAGAGACCATGTCCAGCAGGCGACTATTAAAGGCTGTTGATGATGAACTGGTAGGCTGTTATTTCATAAGGAGGGACGAAAGTTTGTAACAGGAGGAGGAGAAGCGCGCGCTGTTTGATTGGGCCTTATAAACTCTTGATTTACTTCTAGAATAATTTCGTATTCTTTTGCAGTTCTCATACTCTTCGTCCACGGACAGTGCACAGAGCGAAGCAGACGTCTATGATGTGAGGACATGTACGGTGAGAGACGGCACATTTTAATTATAAATCTTTTCCTGTAGCTTCGGTTGTAGGTAGACTGCCCTTTGCCAGGCCCGTCTTACTGAACAGCTCACTCATTAGACACTGGTCCTACTGGGTGAGCCGTGTGACGTACTTTATTCCTGCTATCAACCGCTGTTCTCGCTCATACTGAAAAGTTTTTGTTATATAGGGGGCAAAGGAGCAGACGGGTCACCCAATAGCACCTGCTGTACGGATGGCGTAGTGGTTCAAGCGGTTGCCACGCCCGCGACACAGGATATATTCCTAATGCGGTTGTCTTAAAAAAAAATATTAATTTATATATATTTAATTAATTGCATAAAGAGGGAAAATTTATTCCTTTATTACTAGTAATATATGACATGTATTTTTTTTAAGCTCAAAAGGCACGAGTCGATAGACGAACCGTCTACGTCAGAGATCTTTGCCCCGATACAGTACAACGATTTGGACACCGTAAAGGCACTGGACTTGGACGATGAATTAGAATCAGTAATCAGTAATTTAGAACGAGAGGGACGAATTAAGAAGCCACTGCAGGAGGTAGGTCAGGAGATCAAATCAAGGTTTATTTGCTATGAATGTACGTACAACAAATTATGAGGTGGAATGGTTCTAAGTGACCTGTGTACGTCAATCATCAACAGCCCTTAATAGTCCACTGCTGGACATAGGCCTTTCTTTAGAAAGCATACTATACCATGCTCACCAGACGGATTGATGTTGTATCATTGATTTAAATTCTGCTCTGAAACTATGAGACTCCAGACTAGAAGTTCATACTTCCATTTTAAAAATGCAATTAAAAAAAATGTACATGCACACACGCTTAAACATGCACACACATACACACACACATACCCATGCACACAATCGCTCACCGACGCAGTCATAACATATAATTTAATTTTTAATTGAAAATATAAGTAAAGTACCAACCTTTCACGGCTTGGTGTTGTTGAGAATTTTATATAGTTTTTGTTGGTTACAGAATACTGAAATTCTACCTGGGATAAGGCGACACGAGGAGATCATAGAACAGCATAAGGTAAGTTGTGTTATAGATTTTTAAGTGTCTGTGAACGAAACCATAAACAAGTTCAGCTATAATACTGTCACGAACCACCATGAATCTACGGGGGAGAGAGAGAGGGGGGCGCAATGCCGCGTGTTAATTGTAATAATGGCACGGGACAATGAGCTTTATTACTATATATATATGTATATATAAGATATTCTAAATGTACAAGTATCGAAAGATTGTCGATTTAAACGTAATTTCGTATCTTAGAAACCGAAAAGTAGCAATATATTTAATAAATACTCGTAAACATAGGCTAGTTGACTCAGTTTGAAAAACTTGGTTAATTATATACTTTAATATATATTTTATCCCAAAAAACCTATATTTTAAAGAAAAGGCAATATCTACATTACGTATTTTGTATTTAAAGAAAACAATTTAAATTTCCCTTGAAAACGCTAAATAGTGTCATGGCGTCTTGAATGACGTCACAGTCTGAGAAACAAAACTGTATTAAGGTTGAGAAAATATGCTAAAAATAATAATAATAATAATATATTTATTTGTCAGAATATGGGTATACAGAGTTGTTAGTAGGTACATTTTAGATGCTAGCCACATTCTACCATTATCTGGTGAACAAAATCGAAAACGAAAAACAATAAGGAGTAACCTGCTCTGTTGTAATGACGTAACACTTTCTGAGGGCTGTGCAAGTTTATTTCACATCGACTCGCTTTCGATAGCGAGCGCGTTTAGCGTTGCAATTGGTGGAGATTTCAGTGCGGGCCAATCGCAGCGCCGAACGCGGTCACCGTGACGATCGAGTAGAATTGAAATAAACTCGCACTTGGCCCTCTAATTGGTGTTCGCTGTCACGTGACTTAATGCTTATTTTGTTCGAATTTATTTTTTAAAAATATTAATAATCTTTTACTTTTATCAGAAATAGACTGGTTTTTTTTCCTATCTATGTCTCCTCATTTATAATTTGAAACTAAAAAACCAAGCAATTTGTTATTAGTGGACCCAAGTCTATTCAGCTACACAACTGCACGGAGCCCTGTTAACATGCAGTGATGTTTTAACGTAACACATTGATGTGTAAAGACAGTTTGCCTCCCCCCAGTGTGACGCGATCATAGCCAACGTGTACCACTTCCTGAAGCAAGAGTACGAGATGCTGAAGCGTCTATTGAAAATAAAGTATGACGTGGGCGGTCTGTCGAACATCCTCCAGCGAACTGCAGCCGCCACTAACGTCTCAAAACGAACCGTCATTAGCGCGCTGCAAGCTCACAAAATTAACACGGCCATCAGCTTTGATCACATCTACGAACGAGAGTACTCCAGGTTTGTTACATCACCAGTTGATGAGAGAGATGGAGGCAACCAATATCTGCAGGGGTTCAAGGTTTCATGATTTTAGTAGTTAGAGGTCCTGACTGCTAAGCCAGAGGGTTCGATTCCCACCCAGGACAAATAATTGTGTGGTGAGCACAATCGTTTGTTCTGTCTGGGTGTAATTTATCTATTATATGTATGTATTCAGATAAAATCTTAGTATCTTTATCAGCAGTTTGGTGAACATAGTACAGGCTCTGCCTCGTTTGAGATCAGACGGCCGTGTGTGAGATGTCTGTGAGATGTGTCAGTCCCTCGTAATAGATCACTATTGACAGAACACCGTGTGGTTTTAGTCGGTTCGATGCCGTCATATCACTTCAACTTTAGCTCCGGTAAGAATATAACAAGACCGAATATAGTCTATATATATATATAAATATAGTCCATTCGCATTAAGAAAATAGTGACGCATCGATCAAGCCCCGCTTCCTGACCAATCGGATCCCAAGCTTTACGATAATTTCTTAACACCTTAGTTAGTTAGTCAGGGGTTACCTTATTTTCGTTACGCGAATGAACTGTAGACCTCTAACTCAGCTGGTTAACTATAAGCCTAAATATGGATTCATTGGCCATATCTCTGCCGATAACAGAAATCTACAGCAAAGTTCGCTATCGAGGGATACTTCGCGGTAAACAATATCATTTTGGCTCATTGGAGTTCCTAAAATAGCTCAGTAGTTGGGGCCTCTCTCTAGTCGGTCCTTCATGTCTGAGAATCGGGATACACCTGGAATAGATGTTTTCTCTCGATCAGTTCCTGTCCTGCGAGTCTCTCAAGACCGTGTACAAATTAAGGGATGATGGGTCTTTAACTTGGTCGGTCGACCTTGTTGGTACACGTACGCGCGATCTTGTGCTTACTGTGCTCCCACCACAATAGGGTAGTTGACACCTGATTCAAATTAGTTACTTTATCTGTCATCTGTCAAAACGACAATTTAGTATGATGTTCTAAATACCGACTTATGACGTCACTATTTTAGACTACTCAAAGAATGTATTTCAATGTTTATTTGATTTAAATTCGTAATAATTATAAAAAGCTAGTAAAGTTATATAGTATAGTACATTGTAATTTATTAAGGATACAGTCAACTACCCTATTATAAACTTATTAAATATAATTAGGGAAACTGACTGTGGTTGGGGTAGTCAGGGCACTGAACTTTAAATTGTGACAGAAATGTTTTATTTTTCAGATTAAATTTAATTCTCAGAAAGGCTATGATGGCCACCAAGGCACGACGTTTGGGCAGAAGGGGTAGAAAAAACAAACGGCTTTTAAACAAACAGTAAGTATTAGAAATATAAGAAATAACTTATTAGAAATACAGGTTTTTTTGTATGTATGATTTGACTTGACAGTCAACTACCGTATGACTGAATCTAATGTTAATGTCAGAAGATTTATGTAGGTCTTGACTTATGGAAAGCTTTTGACTGTGTTGTCATCATCAACAAATGTCCAGGATACACACTACATATCATGTCGCAGAAGCATACTGTCTTGCTTATGCTTTATTCAATCTTTGGCAGAAATATTTAACGTCTAAGCTTCCTTCTGTAGAATATATTAGTATTTAAGAAATATAATAAAAGAGGAGTACCACAGGGTCCAAAACAAGGCCCGTTTTAGTTTCTCTTTAACAAAAATTTCAATACCCAATAGACCACTACGACACGATGATCTATATTATAATGTAGTGTGCACATTACAGAACGGATGATGAGAGTGATGGCGTGAGACCTCCCAAACGAAGATTAACTGCCACTAGCGTTGGATCTACATCCAGTAATGAAAAACAATTACCGTAAGTACTAATAATTTTGATAAAATAAAATTGACTGCGCGGATGGCGTAGTGAGTTACGCGGTCAACTCGCCAAACCACTACGCCATTCGTGTAGTCATATACTATTATATTTCTACATCGCCTGAAGGTCGACTGGGAGAGAATGCCTCATGGTATTAAGGCCGCCTTTGTACAACATGTGCATTAGGTTTTAAAGAAATAAAAAATATTTTTCATGTGTGGGAATCGAAATCTGTATTATAAACCATTAGACCAACAGCCCAGTCAAAAATAATAATAATAATAATATTTATTTTCGTAAGGTAATTGTAGTACATAGATACAGAAATTAAAAAAGATAGTGCATACAATCAGTGGTTAAAGCGCTGTCCTCCTAGCTAGGTTATGGAATAACCTGTATTAAGGAGTAACAGTCCCAAACCCCTTTCGGTGGCAGGTATTACAATATACCAATATAGTGCATTAAAGTATTATGACATTTTTAAGGTTATACATAATTTAAAAGAAACAGCGTGCTTGTGTGGGTGTGGGTGTGTGCGCGCGTGTGTGTGTGTGTGTGTGTGTGTGTGCGTGTGTGCGTGCGTGCGTGTGTGTGTGTGTTTTAGGTATCATACGTATAAAGATAGTTTTCAGTTTCCTCGTAGGTTTTATCTTGCAGAAATGTGTTTAACGCCTTTTTGCAGTTGTGATGTGATAGGTTGTAAATTGAACAGTTTCGACTCATTTTGTTGTATAAAGCTGGACCCAAGAAATAAAAGAATCTTTTAGTAAATGCCGTCCTAGGATGTGGTATTGTACAAACTTTGTCTTTTCGTCGTCTGGTTATTTCCTTATGCGGCGTGTTGTAATGCTGGAGCAGAATGATTTGTTTAATAAAATGTTGCCGAACGTTTAAAACCTTACATTGGTTGTATAATTTATCAGTGGGGTACATAATTGGACGGAATGTTGCTACCTTCAAAATCGATCTATGGGCAATTTCTAGGGGTTTCATGGTAGTTTTAGCAGCACCCCCCCAACATGAAATACAGTATGTAATAATGGAGACACACAAGGCAAAGTATATGTTACGGATTATTGTAGGATTCGATATTGATCTTAGTGTTTTAAAAATATAAATTAATTTACGCACTCTACCGATAAGGAAATTGATGTGGGCTTTGAAATTTAGGTTTGTATCTAAGATTATGCCAAGATATTTAATATGATCTACACAATCTAGGTTGAGACAATTGCATTGAGTTGTTCTTGGCGGTAGGCAATTATGTGCTTTTATGGTGATTGGAATGTTAGGTCGAGATGCGGAGCTGATAGAATATATTAAAAGTTTGGTTTTGGAAGTATTTATTGTAAGAGTATGAGAATAAAGCCAATTAAAAACTGTATCCAGTCCACACTGAGCATAGTGCTCAAGCTTTGACCAAGTTTCCGCCTGGAACGTAATAGCTGTATCATCTGCAAATGACACTATTTTGGCATTAGGGATGTTCAGATCACATAGGTCATTTATGAACACCAGGAACAAAGTAGGGCCTAGAATACTGCCTTGCGGCACGCCGTAATAAACAGGAAGCTCATCGCTATCGCAAGTGTCGATTCTCACAGTTTGGGTTCGATTCGTTAGATAACTCCGAAATAGATCTAGTTGTTTTCCCCTGATTCCCATGCCTTCCAGCTTGTTTATGAGAGCAGAAATAGGAACGGTGTCGAATGCCTTAGCGAGGTCTAGGAAGATGGTAAGTATTTTCTTATTAGAGTTTAGGGTCTGTACGACGTGATTAGTTAAACAAATAGTTAAAAAAATAACATAGTATGTTGTATTTTCAGGTTAAATGCTGTGTACAGTTACAATACACAAAGAACGATTGACATAAGCCAAGCAAACAACAACAACGGCGCAAACAACAACAACGGGATAAACAACAACGAGTAAGTATTAAATAATTGTACCGGATTGTAAATTAGCCATAGGGGACTACTGCTGCAGCGCAAATGCATTTGTCTGCGTCTTTCAAAAGAAACACATTTTCTCAGTTTTTGCTACATTTTGTATTGATGCTCGACTCCTACTGGTCGTAAAGTAATGTTGTATAGCCGTTTATTACAGTTTCACTAAATAAATGATCTATCCAACACTTAAAAAAATCTATTCAAACCAGCTTCTGAGATTAGCACAGTCGACCAAACAAACAAACAACCTCCTAAACTTTATTTATAACTAGCTAGTGCCCGCGATTCGTTCGCGTGGAATTTGATTCCCGGACCGGGCAAAATTTTATAGGGTTTTACTGACAGAAAAAAAACTTTTACGTTACTCTTTGTATAAATAGCTACCTAGTAGTAACATATTATTAAAATCGTTCAAGTTCAATTTTATTTATTTGTATAGATTATAATAATATTTTTATTCGTTTCTTAAAGATCTTACAATCTACGAGTAGTAGTTCTCTTAGACTTAGACTCTGCTAATTTGACTCCGTTTATTATATTCATCAACAGCCTTTACTAGTCTACTGCTGGACATAGGTCTCTCCTTAGAAAGGAGGTTTTGGCCTACTATACCACGCTGGCCAGACGGGTTGGTATAGGGTTTGTTTCAAGTTTTCTTTTTGCAGTGCTGTTGTCCTGTGCAGTTTGTTCCCTTAGTCGGCTCTTAGGACACCCACGGGATGAATAGGGGTGGTGATATTCCGTATTCTTAATCCGTCACCACACGGAAAATTTCAAGTTAATCATCAATACAATTTTTTAGTGTAGGTGTAAGGTAGGGTGTAGGTAACTGTTCTAGTGGCACTAGCGGTCAGCAGGAAGTGCCACTAGAATACTGTTCTACTAGAATACGTCTCAAAACCAATCAAATACTACCGACCCAGAGTTCAGCTAAGCAAATCTTTAACTGGAGTACAAGCCTTTAAACTAAGCAGACCCTGTACACTCCCACAGCAAAAAAAAATTTTATTTGAGCAAACTCAGCGTCATTTGAAAGCTAAAGACTTGAACTTTAAGATAAACTGTGTATTTTTTTAGGCATAATAAAATTAGAAGGATTACATAACCTTAAAAATGGGCAAAAAATGGTTGTTTTTTGCACTTTTAGATTAGAATATCTCAAAAACCTGACGTGATAGAGCAATTTTGCGTCCGAATTTGGAGTCAGCGCACCAAAATACTCCGAGAAAGTATACCCTGTTTTCTTGGGAATAAACTTAGTCAAATGTTGTGTGCCTTTGTTATTCTGTATTTAATTGCATTACAGAGATGATGATGGAATTGATGGCGAGTGGTTGACACCTCCCAAAGAACTGAAGACGAAAAACATCTTTCGGACAGCATCCGATGATCAACAAGTTCCGTAAGTACTGATGATGATAATACTAGCTGCGCCCTCGGTGTGGTCCGCGCGGTTTATCAGTATTTCAATTCCTTGATCATCTAACGAGAACAGTACATTTTTTTCGAGATAAAAAGTAGCCAGCTGCCTCCGTACCAAATTTTATCAATCCAGCCGTTTGAACGTGAAGAAGTACGAACATACAAACACACACTTTCGCTTTTAAAATATTGTGTGTACTGAAGGCCAATTCTCGTAATAAAAGTTCTGTCACAACTCAGTCTCAAGGCCCAAGTGTGAGTTTATTTCACATCGAGTCGCTCTCGAGGGTGAACGCGTTTAGCGATGTGATTGGTCCACACTGAAATCTCCACCAATCGCAACGCCAAACGCGCTCGCCACACTCACACTCGGGCCTCTGATCAACTTTCGATCTCGCAACTGTCATAAAAGGTATTTTAATATCATAGTAAAGTATTAACGAGTAAAGTATTAAGACTAGCAGATCAGTGATTAAATTTTCAGTTACAATACGATATAATTACATAACAGTCAACGTTGGATGTTTAATACTTTACTACGACAATACCTTTAAAGACACTGTGCTAGATGAATCCAATGATGAGCAGTCATGATGATAAGTCATCATCATCGAAAGTGAGTAAGACAACCACAGGCACAATCCCCCCCCCCTCCCCCCTCCCCCCTCCCCCGATTCTGAGTGGATACCAGAAAAAGGAAGGGCTTCTGATATATATCAAAATTGTGAAATGATTGCAACAATGAATTTGGATAACTTAATGAAGGCCTACATTTAATTTTCAGGTTCCCGTCCCCTATACAGTTCAGACTGCCAGGGCTGATGGCAGAGTATAAGAGCGAAATGGCTGATGAATACCCATCGATGCTAGAATATGATCCACTTGAGACAGAGTGAGTGTTTATGGCATGATAGCTATACCTGAATTAATTTTGCAAAATGTCGTAGCATAATTTTATACAGCCAGGGGTCGTTGTGTGTTCTTTATCCACCGGGTGTTCTTTGTGCCCGTTACATGTACATATATTAGTAAAGTCCCCGTGACACAGGATATGCTCCTAGTGCAGTGTCTCAGTGAGTTGTCTTTTCAAAGAAACAAAGAAAAAAGAAAGAACCCACAACATTCAGCGCAGTAGGGTCGTATTGGTCATAGCGTGATACTATATAGCCTTCCTCGATAAATGGAAAGAAGAAAGAAGGAAAAGATATTTTATTTCTAAGACACGACAAACAATTTATATGAGGATAGTCAGAAAAAAAAAATACCTATGGCAACCCTGTGCTAAAAAACATGCTGTTTCGAATGTCACGCTAATGGACTATCCAACACTTAAATATATTTTGAATGCAGTGGACTGCCTCGGTGGTGCAGTGGTAGCGTATTCGACTGCTGTGTTGAGGTGTCGAGTTCGATTCCCGGGTCAGACCAAATGTTTGTATGTTCAACAAATATTTGATTCGGATTTTTGATGTTTTCTATGTATAATGTGTAGGTATTTACAAAAAAAAAGTATAAAAGTATTATATCATCTAATCTAGCTTCCATAGTACCTACAAGCTTTGCTTAGTTTGAACCTAGATGGCGTTGTGTGTTAGATGTCCGAAGATCTTATTATTATTCGAACCAGTAGTTCTTAAGATTAGCGCTTTCAACTACTATTTAACAGTATAGATAAGGTTGTTTAGCTTGCTTATTATAGAGATACTCTTCTATCTCCTGCAGGTCAAGCTCAATAGCTCTGGAGGAGCCATCTTACCCACCTGATGCGGCTCAGGTTGAGGTGAAGTTAAAACCTGCGAACGGGGAGTAAGTATCTGTGACTTGCAGTGGGTAATGAGAAATTCAGAGATTAGTATGGATACTGTTTAAAAAATTTTGCTTTCTGTACTTCTGTTACTTATAAACATTAATTAGTCCAAATTTGGCATTGCAATCGTGTGTGCCATAATTGTTCATAACAGGGGAAGAGAGAATTTTCTTCGTCACTCAAAAGGAATAAGTTTTTCCCGTTTTTGAAACATTTTTCACTGATGCTCGGCCCCCATTGGTCGCAACGTGATGTTACATAGTCTAAATCCTCGATAATCCATTTATCGAGGAAGATAGGTCGTCAGGAAGTAGTGGTTCGGATAGAAAAAATATTTTACATCTAGACGAAAAAGCTCTTGGCCTACTATACCACACTGGCCAGAAAGATTGGTATAGTTTTCCTTCTCTTTACAGTGCTGTTGTCCCGCGTAGTTTGCGTTTCAAAATTCTCGTAACGAAAAATCAGATCAAAATTCAGTTCCCATCTACTTTAGATCTCACAAATGTCATAAAAGATATTTTCGAAGTATAGTATTAAACATTCAACTAAATACAAATAAGAAATTAATATGTTATGTGATTATATCGTATTGTGATCGAAAGTTGAATCGGTATTCTGCTACTCTCAGTAGTACTACGAGAATACCTTTTATGACATTTGTGAGACCGAGAATAGATCATTTTTATTACGAGAATTGACCTTCTGCATGCTTATTATTGAGATACCCTTCTGTCTCCCGCAGGTCAAGCTCTACAGCTCTGGAGGTGCTATCTGACCCACCTGAGGGAGCTCAGGTTGAAGTGAAGTTAGAACCTGTGGACGAGGAGTGAGTATTTGTGACTTGCAGTGTTTAATGGTCTCAAGTATATAGTGACGTTGTAGCCGTTAACCATTACGTCATACAGCAGTGTAAACTAAAATGTGCCAGTGTAATCCGCAATATGTCCGGTGTTTTCACACTAGTATACTTGCATTCAGGAACCACCAACGATAATTAGAATTACTACTAATTTTTAAATCAAACAATATCATACAACATTTCAGCGCATTTGTTTACACAACCGACTTGTGTCATGACTACAAAGCAATATGGCGTCCAGCGTTTTTATCAAATTTACGCGCGAAATTTAAAAATGTTTTTTTTTGACATAAAAAATAATAATAATAAATTCTGCTTTTAGCGGTTTATTAGCACAGAATTTTATTGAGACACTGTTCGAAAACTGTCTGTCTATGAGACAGCTTTTTGTACGAACTGGATGCAGAGTATTATTTAGTACATAATTAGATCCTATTAACATGTCTGGAGACCATGATTTTGAACTCCAATTGCTTTCTTCCTTTTCAGAGCGGATATCTGTACAGATTATTCGGTGTGTGACATGACGCCCCTCGACATCAAACCTGAACCACCTTCCGAATGAAGAGGTACACCCTCTCTGTGCAGTTCTACATGTGTATCTAAGATCCTCATCAGTGAGGGACTCACTCACAGTCTCTGTAACTGTGCGCGGCGGTTTCACGCGTTAACGCCTCTCTTGTGGGCGGTTGACTTTGTATATATGTGTATATATGAATTGTGAATTAAATTGTCCACATAACAGATGTGTAAATATGACCAACTGGGCGATATGTTAAGGTGGCAGTCACTGACAGACTCACCAACTGTAAGGTTTGTGGCCAAGATTAATGACGAATAATTATTATTTTTATGAAAATACTAGGTGTACCCTGCCACGCTTCGCTATGGCACATTGTGGTGGCGTTGATGAGAAATGAGAAGAAGACTGATTTACAAAGATATATAAACACAATTTCTGAAGCGGTTTGTATATCGTGACAAAATTTGGGCTCAATCGGTGCAGAACTTTGAGTTTTTGAAGCGTACACAAACCAACTCAACGTTTATATATATATATACAGGATGTAAGGGACGTCGTAACGAATACTGGAATAGTGTATTCAGACCATCATTCTGAGTCGAAAATTTTTCTTTATGAAAAACTAATGATATCACAATAAGTAAACAAAATATAACTCAAAATAATTTAATAAATACCGCATACGGTCAAAAACTGCAATGTAATTAATCAAACAGCCGAAGCGTGCGGGGCTTCGCCCTCCGGCCGCTATCTTGTGTTAGTATGCGTAGACTGTTTGCACGAATACAAATATAATTATTACTTTTGTGCGATATTTACGGGGAATGAACCTTAACCTATGACAACTGATTGCATAAAACGTTTAATTTTCCGGCAGAAAATGCCAATAATTCTCGACTCAGAATGATGGTCTGAATACACTATTCCAGTATTCGTTACGACGTACTTTAAACCCTGTATATAGATTACATTGATTAGAAAATGGACATTGTATATATTGAAATAATAATTACTTCTCTATACACGGATATACATTGACAGAAGAAGGGTACTTCTTTAAATGCTCTTGTGGAGTAGACGACCACGCAAAGCGGTGGCGAGGATCACGGACAAAAGGTGCTAATTGTCAATGACCAAAAATATTTACTATATTTACTGATAATAAATAATAATGCATAAATTGTTTTCTGTTTTATTTACTAATAAAAATAAGTTACACATCCCACTAACAGCCGTCTGATCTCAACCTGCACGAATGGCGTAGTGGTTTAAGCTGTCGCCACGCCGCTTGCTACTACGCTGTGTTGTGGTTCCGATCCCCACATGGAACGACACAAATTGTTGTTCTGAGTCCGGGTGTTCTTTGTGTCCGTTTCATGTATGTTTGTAAAGTCCCCCCTGACACAGGATTTATTCCTAGTGTGGGAGTTGTCTTTAAAAAAAAAACCAGACAGTCTATACGGGAACCAGACTGCTGTTAAACATATATTTCTAAAATCATTCATTATATTATAGATTTTTAACAAGCCAAAGTTACATTATATAAAAAAAAATCTTGTTACACAGATATTATACGGTTACACGCGGATATTACATATATAGGTACAAGAAAAACAGTATTGCTTGTTGTTGGCCTAATGTTATGTATTATTGTTACTTTTTCAATGTTAAAGCTGTTGGTTTTCCTTCAAATAAATAAATAAATCTTATGAATTGACATTGAATGTCACTACCCCTATTCACCCCTTTGGTGTCGTTAGAGCCGACTAAAGGAGCGAACTTCGCAGGACAACAGAACTGCAAAAAGAAGGAAAACTTTACACAAACCTTTTACCAACCCGTCTGGCCAGCGTGGTACAGTAGGCCAAAACCTCCTTTCTAAGTAGAGGCCTATATCCAACACTGGACTATTAAAAGCTGTTGGTGTGATATGATGAGTCGTGTAACATGGTCTACCAGTTCAATAGTCACCATGCTGGCATGTTTTCGGGGCCCATTGAGATAAACCAATTTATGAATGCCCAAATCGAACTGTTGATATTTTAGACATGTTAAAAGAATAAGCAAACCACTAAAAGAGTGTGTATAAAACGAGTGACGAATGTTGATGACGAGCGTGCTGTATGACAGGATCATGGCAAATGGCTTTCTGTGGTCTGTACCTACCCTCGGCGGGAATTATGCGTGAGTGTAAGTATGCAACATAAATTCAATTATGGGTTTGTTACGCTTTAACTGATTGTTGCCATTGTGTGTTGAAAGACGATTCCAAATAACTAAAAAAAAAGTAATAATCTTATATTATTTATACATATGTCTAGATGGACAGTCAAAGCTGTGACAGCAGAGGAAAAATAATGTCCAACTGTTGGCCTCTAAATGTTTTGCCCGCGTTTAGTATCAGAAGTACTGTCACTGTCGTGCTTGCACACACGTTGCTTTCATATTGTGTTGTTCATAATGAGGATTTGTGTGATAAAAGTGTGTTAAATGGATATAACTTAGGGTTTTTAAAGTTATTAGTTTTTAGCCGCGTTAAGTGATTTCTGGTACGAGTATAGTTATATTCATGGGTGGTTGACTGTGCGGGTGCAGTGGTATTGTATGCGACTGCTGTGAAGAGGTCTCGGGTACGATTCCCGTGTCGGTCAAGATTTTTATAAGATCTGCAAATATTATTTTTAGAGTTTGTGTATTTTCTATTAATATGTACGGATTTACATAAAAGAATGGTAGTTTTCATTTAGTCAATCTAGCTTTCATGGTTTGCTTAGTTTGAGGCCAATGGTGATGAGTGTGAAAAAAAAACTAATGTTAAGCAAGACGTTTTGGTACATTTAATTATTTTTAAGGCATATTTATATATTCATATTTTTGTTTTAGCTTAGAGTATATTTTTCTAGATTATTAAGTTTTTCAGCACTCATAATTTTTCCCTATTTTAAAGAAAATTTTAAACGCCTGGAATTATCTATGCACGCACACTTGGAAAGCAGAATGACGTGACGTGAATGTAAGACGAAGGCACGGTACGGTAATATATTATTATGACATTACCGTGACGAAGGCATGAGGCTGTCACGCACACTAATATTGATAACTCGTCTCATTTATTTTTGTTCTTTTGCACTGCGATGCTCTATGTAGAAATGTAAAAGTATCGTAGTATTAATCGTGTTTTGCTATTAAATATGTTCAAATTATAATAAAAGGAGAAAACTAACAAACAACATGCCACCACTTGGTATTGTGGTTGTTATTCAATATCTGTAAAGCACAGAACCTTTGTTTTAAATAATTTAAGAGATGATGGAAATGCCGCCATTGTCAAAAGTGTTGCCATCATAATCGCTTAAAATCACCCGCTGTTTAGCGCCCACATTATTTTAATCTTGTATTTATTGAATCTATCTTTAAATTGCAATACAATGTATTTAAATAAATAAATATATAATTAAAGCATTTAAATATGTGTAAATATATTGCATTATTGATATATATATATATATTATAGAACAACACAAAACTCTCCCCACCCTTATACATTAACTAATAATAAGCTTGTTTTATTTAATTTACCTTCAATTGAATGATTAGAGTCAGCCATTCATTACTTATCCATTAGTTTAGCGCCCACATTATTTTAATCTTGTATTTATTGAATCTATCTTTAAATTGCAATACAATGTATTTAAATAAATAAATATATAATTAAAGCATTTAAATATGTGTAAATATATTGCATTATTGATATATATATATATATTATAGAACAACACAAAACTCTCCCCACCCTTATACATTAACTAATAATAAGCTTGTTTTATTTAATTTACCTTCAATTGAATGAGTAGAGTCAGCCATTCATTACGGTGAAAATACTCGTCACCGATGCTTTTTTAATAACTCCCAATTTGAGGTTAATAACTCATTATATGTTCAATGGAAGGGATACTTTATGTTCAATTACATAAAATGAACTTGTAATTGTCACGGAACTGGTGTACTGTGAAAAATGATATGAATAATTAATTCCAAACTTACAAAAAAAAAATCAAAAAAAAAATCGATACCACTCAATGCAAGGTAGTTTAAAAAAGAACAGTATTTATTATTACTTTTTTTCTTTCAATCGAATCAGTAAGGGCTGACCTAGGATATGTCTTACCATTTTTTTCGTAAATGCTTACATTAAAACGTTCCCTTAATGATATTTTTTTTGAAAAATGTAAGCCAACTGAAGCTTTAGACATTTTTACGGTCTAGTGTTTATTTTTCTCGCATAAAATTTTAGTAACACAACATTAATTGAACCTAAGCATCAAATTCTACTAATTAGTAGAAATTTGAAAAACTGTAGTTTAGGTAATATGATTAATTTTTATACTGTCATGAATCACGATGTTAATAATACAATTAATAAGTTAAAATTATTTACGAGTACTATGTCAGTCATTACAAAATGAAACAGATGTGTGACACAATACCTACATTTTTAAATGGTGGCCACAAGCACAAATCAATAAAGATTCACTTGACTCGCGCCGCTGTCAAGGCGTTTGACAATAATTGTATAAACAAGTGTTTGTCGTGAAATTCAATAAAAATGGCGTGTTGTGCCATTAAACATTGTAAAAACTATTCAACAAAAAAAGATACACCTAAGAAAACATTCCACCTGTTAGTACTTATTGTGATTTAATTTCAAATGAAGACAGATGAAGACGTAACTATTAACTTCAGTGCTGCCATTGTTATCGAAAATAATCCCCTATTGCAATTGAGTTTACTTTCGCGTTAGCCGCCTTTTTCAATGTGCTGTACTGTAATATTTAATACCTATGTTGTTGCCCATTTAATCAAAGTTTTCTATTATATCTTGTGAAAACGATGGCCTTATACTTAAAATTATATATATATATATACATATATATTTTAATTCTAATTATTTATTGAATATCCTTAAATTGTTTTTTAACCGTTATATAGGTTTCCCAGAGACACAAAACTCGCAAATCAATGGGCAGATATAGTGAGGGAAAGTAGAAATGAATTTTGGTGGCAACCAAATACGTGGACATGTATTTGTTCAGATCATTTTTCTGTAAATGACAAATATACTACTAAAAGTGGTCATCAGAGACTTAAAACAGGCGCTGTGCCTTCTGAGGTATTAATGAAACTAATTAAGTTACTTTAATTGAATGAAGGAAAACAATTGTCTTAATGGTTTTTTGGCGCCATTTACAGGCATTAGTTTTGTCTTCGGAAAATGATGACAAGCAAGAATCTAAGAGAGTTGAGAACCATGGAAGTATTGTTAAGAAACCAACCGCTAAGCAAAAAAGATCCCGCCGTGTATGTTTTAGTTACATTTGATATTTATTTAATTATTTATCTTTGCATGACATGTTTAGAGCTTAATTATCTGATGAAGGCTTTTTTATTCTCACGAGTAGTAACTTTAAGGTACCTGTGAGAGTCAATAGATGTTTAAATAATTTGAATGTTGTTAGTGTAGCTGTATGGTGAAGCGATAATCATTATTTAAAGATCGTAAATGGCCATGGATATTACTAAAAAGCATCGTCAAAAGGAGCCATTCCTAAATTACGTTACATGAGGGGGAGAGGATCGACGAAGTGTGACAAAGTGTGAGAGGGGTTCTAAGTTTTGGGACGTCTAAGTATCAAAACACGAAATTTGAATTTTTAACAGTGATGTCAAAGTCGCGCTAGGGAGGAGGGAGTCTCACAAACGTGACTAGCTGTGGTAAAGACAAGAGTGGGGGTCCAAAAACCATAAAATTCGTGTGACGTAATTTATGTAGGCCCTTACGTAGGTTATTTTGAATTAAATCAATATTACAGTTGTTTTAAGTTTACTCCTGGTAATCTAAAGTATTGAATGAACAAAATCTAATAAATGCTTTTAATAATAAATAAATTGCCTAGAACAATGTCAAATTGCCCTAATTTAGTGTAAAAAATCGTTGCTTTTTATACCTATTAGACACGTAAAAAGTAAGTGGCAGTGTTAAAAATAAAGTAATTACGCACACTATGAGAACATAAAAGAGACGTAAATATGACGCGGTATAAGATTGGCAACACAAAAAAGGTAAACGCCTGCTTTTTAGTTAGTCGCGTTCTCGCTAGTGTTGTGGTTAAACGTCATTGACTAATTTAGATAAACTGCGGAAAAAATGCCTTCATGTGTATTCAGAAGATGCAAGAATTATACAGCCACTGTTAAAACTAAAGATATATCTTTTCATGAGTAAGTAAATAATATATTTTGTTTATTATCACGTTTTAATGTATTTAGTTGCCGCTCCTAATAATTAAGGGACAGATGGGGTAATAGTAGGCCAGCGTTCAAAATATTCATCAAGTATTTTATAATGAAATAATGAATTTTATTTTTTTATGGATTGAAGAGTATAAAATAATTTCATTTAAATAAAAAAAAACATTTTAAGTGCCCTTTATTACATACATATGTAAAAACATTTTTTACATATGTATGTAATAAAGGGCAAACGTGCAGACGGGTCATCTGATGGTAAGTGACTACCATCGTACTGGACACCTGCTGGCTTATCCGTGTAGTGACGGAGTAAGATTACAGAGTGGCAAGAGCCGACTAAGGTAGCAAACAGCACTGTAAAGAGAAGGAAAACCTGACACAAACCCTATACCTACGTCTGGCTAGAGTGGTATAGTAGGCCAAAACCTCCTTTCTAAAGAGAGGCCTATGTCCAGCAGTGGACTATTAAAGGCTGTTGCTGTGAGCCGGAATATTTATTCTCGATTAATGTACGCAAATAGCAATAAAATTAATTTAAGCTATTTTACTAAGATGTTCCGTTGATATGGATATATGACGGTGATGTAGAATACAAATTTTAGAATATTTTATATTGAGTAGGTACCCACTAGTCCGGTTGCCAAAGTAAGCCAAACCCTCTTTTCTAAGGAGAGGCTTATGTCCAGCAGTGGGCCGTTAAAGGCTGTGGATGATGATGATGACTGTTCGATTTGCCAATTATATCAATAGTTATAATCAAATGAAACAGTTTTTTTAAAGTTAAATTCTGTTTTTACTAAAAATGAATAATTAGGACACAATATTTTAGTATATATAAGTATAAGTTATAAAATGCCGTTAATTTTTAGTATACCCAAAGATGAACTGATAAAAGAGACGTGGTTAAAGTTAATTAGAGCAGAAAGGTGTGAGAATGACTGGCTGCCAACTGCGTACTCCACAGTTTGCTCCGAACATTTCCTAGCTAGTGACAAATATCTTACGAAAAAAAATCAAAGGAGACTAAAGAAGACCGCAATTCCTGTTTTAAAGGTTTTTTTTTTAAATTTATTTATACTTCGATTACAAGACAGATTAATTATTTAAAAGGAACATTAACGTAAATCTGAATATTACATCATCACTAAATTCAGATTTCATTTTATTATTTATTGTTATTTATTAAATAAGGTTCAAGGTCCAATTTGTACTACATTCCTCGAAGTGTTTACGACACAAACGTTCTGACCAATGATCATACGTTACCGAATGCCACACAACTATAGCTCTATATTTATCTCTGTCTAACAAATGGTAAGTCGTATGATTTCTTTCACTCTGCAAGTGCTGCTTAATCACATGTATTGCTTTATGTACATTTAAAATATTGTATACTTCGATCAATTATATTTTATATATTAAAAATAACGTGTGGCACTCTGGGACTGCCGCGGTAAAGCTATTGCATAGCATTTTTTATCAACTTATGTAATTATAATTATTTATTTATTTTATTTTTGCAGTATTTTTTTTCTTTGATATTAATTAGATTGCGGGGCGGAGAGGGGGATTACGCATGCGCAGTAACGCCGATACAACCAATGTCACCTAGAGGCGAGTTGCTGAACTAAAGAGACAAGCGTGATATTTCAAAAAAGTCATTAAAAGTTCTGCTATTTATCGATAGATGGCAAAACTAAAAAGTATCACGTGGGGTGTATTAGGTTATTTTCGTTACGGCATTTCTGGATTCAGTCTCCACGCTCAAGGCCCGCGATAGAAGCTATGCAATAGCTTAAAAAAGGTATATAAAATCGTTGACTACGACCAAGAATAGCAACTAGGTATCGTCTCGGTAAATAACAGCGTACTTGAGACACGAAATTTTATCTAAATTTGTTCAGCGGTTCTTGATTCCCCATACAAAGTTCCACCTCCCTTTCACCCCCTTAAAGGATGATTTCTCTGATATCAACTACCCTATGTCCTTGTCCGGGACTCGGTCTAGCCTTCATCTAAATCGATTCGGCGGTTTAAGCGTGAAGAGGTAACAGACAGACAGAGACACTTTCGCATTTATAATATTAGTATGGATAATGGCTACTACAACGCCCTAAAGTATCTAGATACTTTAGGGCCTAGGTAGACTTGATCAGTAATCCTGTATATGGATTCATGTACCTACACATGATTTTGCTTTACAAGCAAACTCATTAGGTGTATGATATTATCTTTGATTAAATCTAACACAGATAAATATATTTTACAAAAGGTTTTTACTCACTCGCAAGATGTCACAAGGGAGTAAACAGTGAGATGACGCATGATAGAGTAGAATGGAAGAATCATACATACCAAATAAAATTGGGATAAGGGTAGGCATCATCCCTTCCTAGCCATATTCTCACTCACACAGTCCATCCACCTTTCCTATGGTCTTCCTCTTCTCTTGTACCCTTCAACTCCAATACCTATAAACCTTTCTTCGTCACATTTTCCTCATCCCTTCGCATGACATGTCCATGTAGTATTAGATAATATTTTGAAGATTGGTGACTTTATTACTAGGAGCCATGGTTGTAATAAGGTTAAACTTAAAACTGTATTTAAACCTTTTCCGGACCGATACGACCATCAAACCTGCAAGAAAAGAGCGTACTCCTTCCTAAAAGGCGGGCAACACGTTTGTGACTCCTGAGTTGCAGACGCCTATGGACGGCGATGGTTACTCTCCATCAGGAGACCCGACTGCTCGTCTGCCCCCTCTGACATAAAAAAAAAACTCTCCGTTTGTTAGTATACAAATATATCTGTGTAAGTATATATTCACGCGGACTGCATTTAGCTTTGATTTTGTACTTGTATGTGACACTTTGTCTAGTTGCTATTGTTGATCGAAGATTGTTTATTTAAAAAAATATTTTATTTGTGTATGGTCTGTTTATAGCAGTGTTGTAAAATAAATTTCATTGGTAAAAAAGTAAATAATTACCCTTTTAGTAAGGTTTTTATGGCGCCTTTTAAACGGAGTTCGTGCGGATTATAATTTTTTACTGACTTTAAGAAGAATGTATATAATAATATTTTTTTTCACACATCTCACACACGGCCGTCTAGGTAGAGCCTGCACTATGGTAACCAGACTGCAGATAAACATACTTATGTATTCTAAATACATACATAATAAAGATAAAGTACACCCAGACACAGAACAAATGACCATGCTCATCACACAATTATTTGATTTGGGTGGGAATCGAAACCACGACCTCTGGCTTGCTGGCTGGCTGCTAACCTAACCACTAGGCCACTACCACTACCCTTTCTCCTAAAATAGTGGGCGGCATTTATGTCAAAACATTAGTATTTATTTATAAATACAATAAATTATTTACTTATCTCTGATTTAAATAGTTACAGTATAATTATTTCATTCCGTTCATCTGTAAACATATTTTTTTTCTGCATTAATTGAAAGAGGCGGTAGCCTAGTGGTTAAGGCATTGGACTTGCGATCAAGAGGTCGTGGGTTTGAATCCTAACCAGTACACTACCGACGTGAACCCACTCTTAACACCAGCAATTTAGTTTAGCGGGAGGGGTTAATGGGAATACCAGTCATTTCGGTTGCTAGTGAATCTTTAAAAAAATAAAAAAAAAGAGTATTTTTTATACCTGCGTGAGACATCTAGTCACAACACTAGTGGAAACATAACTAACCTAAAAGCCGGGCAATTGCCTTCATTTCAAGTTGTCACTATAAATGTGTCAAATAGTGCGGTAAAGATTCTCAGAGATACCTATGTAACCATATATTTAGATATGGAAAACGTAGTTAATCCTGAAGATCCTGATCAGGATAATCGGACAAAGTTATAAAATTGTTGCATTGTTATCGGTCCTTGACAAGTGGGCAGAATTTCAAATGAATCTGACGTTTTAAAGTGGATAAAAACGAGTTATTCATTACACACATACAGGTAAAGCTAAGTGTTAAAAAGATCTTTTCACCTGTTTTAAAATGCATGTATAAGTCTTTGTTTATGTGTTATTTCTTACATATTTTTTTTCAAGCTTATTCGACAGTTGACGTTGAATAATTTTGTGATTTGAAATCGAGAGATTCAGAGTTTGTATTTTTTTTTATACAGATTGGTAACAGTTCACAGCCAGATGGAAATAGTGGAACAATACAATTGCCAGAGGTAATTTGTTTAATAATAATGATCACATGCCATTTATTTCCCTCCCAATGGAGATGTTTATATTCTTTTTAACCATCAAATCAATAAATAAAACAGTTACACGGTAGGTAACTGGTTATAAATTTAGAAATAAAATATTGTCGTGGTCGCTTTCCATGAGGTGACCCGTCTGCTCATTTTCACCCTTCACCAAAAAAAAAAAAGATTACCAGCATCTTCAAAATTCTTCATTGGCTTTATTGTAAAAAATATATTGATCAAGTTTCCCAAGGTTCAAGGTTGCCAGATCTAAAAATACAATAGGTGACAGATTGAATAAACCAGATGAATGATGTTTTCTTTAAAAAAATATATAGCTGGAGTCAAACTGAAACTACCTTTTTTACATAAAATTTTTAAATTTGTTTGAATGCGTTGAGTGAAATTCTATGTAATAATTATTAACATTCCTTACTTATCCAGGCCAAAGAAATCATCACCAGCGTGTACCGCTATCTCCAAACCGAGTACGAGTACTTAAAGAGTAAAATCGACAGTAATTGCGACCTGACTCCTTTGGGTAATATCCTCAAGCGTACTGCAGAAGCCACTGGCGTCAGTGAACAGACCGTCACATCACTCTTGGAGAAGGGCAAGCGTCCACTGGAGTCCACACAAAAGACTGTTCAAAGAAAACGTGCCAAGTCCAGTTCCTGCTTCGAGGATGATGATGTAAGGTAAGTTGTTCCTTTCTTGAAAATGTCTAATAATAATAACTCCACACATCTCTCACACGGCCGTCTGATTCCAAACTAGGCAGAGCCTGTGCTTTGGTAACCAGACTGCTAATAGACATACATATATATTACTAAATATATACATACTATAAATAAATTACACCCGATAAGAAACAAATCATTGTGCCCATCACACACTTATTTGGCTTGAGTGGGAATCGAACCCACGATTTGGGGCTTAGCAGTCAGGGTCACCAACCACTAGACCAACAGGCCCGTGTATGTATGTCATGTAGTGATGGATCGTGTATCCCTATAATGAGGACATTAGTGATGTGCTAGATATCCTTATCTGTATCCGCGGATATCCTGGCAAGAAACTACTGCATCCTTTTTTTGCCTGCTCTTTACATTACATTTTTAAATATAAAATATTGTCAGTTACACATGAGGTTATAATCAGTTCTATTTTTTTAAGAATCTTACCGAAAATCTTTGTGATATGTGTATTATAATATATTTATATTTCAGAATTCACCGCACCGAATTCATTCGACTAGCAAGTCGAAACATGTCATAAGTAATATTTAGTCTTGAACGTCATCTGTCCTGTCATCGTATAGGTAGAACTAAACTTTAATTATCCGTATTCTTATGCAAGGATATTCCATTTTAATAAACCTGCACAATACTACTGAAGATCCATATAAAATCACGTATTTAATTTTGTGTTTGTTGTTATAACAGTTTTTACACACAGTTGGATTTTATCACCAAAAATATTCCTTTCTCTATCTATGCGTCATTGGTCTTTTGTTAGATCATAGACCAACCTCAGCAAAATGTAAACGCTAATTTTTTCCTCTGTAAACCCTAGTACTATTTTCCAAACTCTCCACCAATCACACAACACGCCTACGTCATATGCTCGTTGTACGCACGCACCTCTACATTCACATACACATATTCCAAAGATACAACTTAACTGCATATCATTTGTCCTAAACTGCATTTTTCTTCTTTTTACCAAACAAAGATATTTCCAACTTTCTCTCATACAATATCAACATCATATTGGCTTGATTTCTTGCAGTCCGGTCGAGGAAGAGTCAAGTTCTGAGGAGAAATCCGAAGGTCATCACTCAGATGATGGGTAAGTGTAATACCAAGAAAGAAACTGAATCCCAGACCAAGGCAGCTGCACCTCCTAAATCTTGTACGCTTACGTATTTACTAATAAGTTCGGTTTAAAGTGTCCCCTCGGCGAGCAAAATCCCCTTCTGGCCAAAAGCTGGATACGTCAATAATCACAATTGTTCAGATTCCCTTCCCCAAGCAACTCCCACGTCTTCTAAAGAAAAAATAATTTCAGTCAAAAAGCGCAAAGTAGTCAGAAGATGGAGACGGGGAAAGTGGAAGTTGAAGATGATGACGAGGACCACAGGGATGCTGTAATGGAAAAGTTTAGGGTGGATATTGAAGTGACATCTTGCGAGTGAGTAAAAACCTTTTGTAAAATATAGATTCTGTGTTAGATTTAATCAAAGCTAATGTAATACACCTTAAGAGTTTGCATGTAAAGCAAAATCATGTGTAGGTATATAAATCTATATACAGGGTTACGTCTACCAAGATACTTCAGGGCGTTGTAGTAGCCATTATCCATAGTTATATTATAAATGCGAAAGTGTGTCTGTCTGTCTGTAACCTCTTCACGCTTAAACTGCCGAACCGATTTAGATGAAATTTGGTATTGAGGCTAGTCCGAGTGTCGGGCAAGGCTTATCCGAGAAATCGTCCTTAAATGGGGTGAAAGGGAGATGGAACTTTGTATGGGGAATCAAGAACCGCTGAACGTATTTAGATGAAATTTTGTATGTAGATACTTTGATTCTTGAGTAAAGCGATAACAGACATTTACACGGGCGGACAACCGTTGGGGAAAACGAGTTCTTGAGTGGAGACCGCGTCTCGGCAAACGTAGTGTAGGACGCCTACAGATGATGAAGATGGCTGGCAGGAGCTGGATGCGAGAAGCCCAACATCGATCTGAGTGGCGTGCAATGGGAGAGGCCTATGTCCAGCAGTGGACTGCGATAGGCTGATGATGATGATGATGACACTAATAGATTTCACTATGAAATATCATATCCCAAAGCTAACCATTTTCAAGACATTGGACTTTTTCTTTTTTTACTGTTTTTGTGTTGTTGATACATTGTTTTAAAATTTCCATTACCAAAATTTATTTTTGCTATTATTAACCATCTACTTCGACCCAGTTTGTTAATTACAATTTTAGTGACGGAAATTAAAAAACAATGTATCAAAGAACGTAAAACGTTAATGTATGGAGGGTAGAGGCAAGAAAAACCATCTCTGTGTATGAAAAGTGTCCGTAAAAACGCGTCCACAGGATAAATTTATTTTGGGTGAAATGATAATTTGACACTGTGTACTAAACTGCGAAAATATTCAATGAGTTTTACAGACAATAAATAAACGTGTAATAACTTTCAGACAATACAAGTGTTATAATATTTTAACTCAGCGCACTTCACTCCGTCTACAACGGCTATGTTCATATTGTAGATTTTCGTACACCAGCGACCTCTATGTTTAGTATGCATCTGGACACTTTTTAAACTTTACCCCATATGCGATGGTACTCCTTGCCTCTGCACTCCATAATTTATCGCGGACGCAGAATTTTATTTTAAAACCTAGAATCGCCTTATTATCGCTAGATGACGATGTAGCATGTTTTGGTGAAAAGCTTGCTTTATTAAAATACCAATTGTGTTATCACAGAACGGAGTCTGCAGTTCTGAACTTACTGTCAACAACACACTCTGATGTAACGGATGAACCTGTCGACTATCATCAGCAGTAAGTATTTTGATTTAATCATCTCATATAGACTTTTCTAAGGGGGATTTTGCCCCTATATAAAAAAGTCTAGAATATGAGGGACTAGCAGAATAAGGCTAGCAGGGTTTTAAAGCATTGGGTTTATGATCACCACGTCTGGTTGAGCGAAAACCCGTAAATACGTCCTGTACTGTTTTCTATGTAATATATATTTATTTACAAGAAAATAATTATATAATATTAAATATTCTATCAGTCAATCTAGCTTTCATAGTACAAATTCAGCTTAGTTTGGAACTAGATGGCGTTGTGTTGACGTCCGAAAAAATATTATCATGACCAGCTTATCGCAGAAAATAAATAATGAATGAACATTTTGTTATTTTCAGGACGAGCTCCGCTGTTCAACACCTGCTGTCTTCGGAACAGAGTGAGATAAACGAAGAGTCCAGCGATATTGAAAGCTGGCAGTAAGTAAAGCGTAACTTTGTGTGCGTACTCATTCGCAAACTAACGAGTCATTATCTCTTAGCCTACCCTTATCCATATTTCATTTGGGGTCGGCGCAGTATGTATGGTACTTCCATTCTACTCTATCATGCGTCATCTCACTGTTTATTCCCTTCCTAGCCATATCCTCACTCATACAGTCCATCCACATTTTCTTTGGTCTTCCTCTTCTCTTGTACCCTTCAACTCTCAAACCTAACACTTTCTGACAACATTTTCCTCATCCCTCCGCATGACCTGTCCATACCAAGATAACCTATTACTTCTTAACTTTACATCCAGTGGCGCTACTTTCAGACTCCCTGGTTAATTTACTTTTAATTAAACTTAAACCTACAAATACTATGCTACTATTAATACTAAAAATCTGTGTCGATCTACTCTCGATTTCAAAAAAATGTCATGAAAGGTATTCTCGTAGCAAAGTACTACTGAGACTAGCAGAATACCGATTCAACTTTCGTTCACAATACGATATAATCACACTACAGTCAACGTTGGATGATTAATTATTTTATACTATTATTACTATTATATTACTACGAGAATACCGTTTATGACATTTGTGAGATTCGAGAGTTGATCGGTTGAACGTATTTTATTACGAGAATTGGGTAAAGGAATACACTCGAAAACATAACCCTCTTTCAAGCACAGTCGGTTAAAAATACAACCGAATCACCTCCTCCTTTAATTACTTAGTCGTTTATGCTGTGTAGTATGTTATTTGGCAAAAATAACGCCCTTAACACTTATACAGATCGACATCAGCTGTGTCCCATGCACCTCCTGACGCAGTACCTGACCCCCTGAAGACAGAACTCTACGATGACGATTAAAAAAATCTTAAAAGCTTACTGTGTGTTACTATATATACCGGGCCTTCCATAAATTGCGTCACACGTTAAGGAGGGGCAGCGTCGACGAAGTGTGACAATCTCAGGAGGTCCTTAGTTTTGTTCCATCACGTTTCTTAACCTATGTCTAAGTATTAAAACGCGAAATTTGAATTATTAACAGTAATTCATCGTTTTTTGTTTTGTGGCGTCGCGTCGCCATGCCAACAGCCAATTTGACCCTCCGCATTAGATGTTTCACATCAAAAATAATTTAAAAGGAAATATAAATAAAAACACAAGGGACAAGGTGCTAAGACGGAGTGGGGGACGAGAGACCATAAAATTCGTGTGACGTTGTTTATGAATAGTCCTTGAGACCAAGGCTTTTAATACTTATGAGTTACCCGTTAGTGTAAGATGAATAAATGTATTAAGCTACAACAAATTGTATTTGAAATATGCTTTACTTAACATGTATTTTTTCTGCATACACTCAGGCTTTTACCCCCCGAAGGGGTCGGCAGAAACGTATCAAGTCCAGATTTTAGTCCCATTTCCGTAATAGGGGACTAGCTTAAGGTCGTCAACATTGCAGTTTATGAATTATATGGGGAAATTTGAAATGTACTGAGAAAAGGGAAGGTAATGGTGTCACCACCACCACCACCAACAGCCTATAACAGTCCACTGCTGGTCATAGGCCTCTCCTTAGAAAGGAGGTTTTGACCTACTATATAATGGTGTGTAATTTTTGTATTTTTAATTATTACATAAGTCTGGCAACACTAAAATATGTAAACTTTGATGACTAATAAATATTTAGGTCATCTATTTATTAATGTATGTTATATTCTATATGTATTACTAGTCATATCGTAATATGTACGTATAATATAATCAAATATATAAACATAGAAAACAAATCGCAAATATACTCAATAGTTTAAGTTGCATAATTTTGTTATTGTATGTTTTTTGTTGTTAATCATTTTAATGTTGTACTCTAAGCTGAATGTCGTGAAACTATTTGTGTGTAATGTGAAAAAATGATGAATGTCTATTAATAAATATATGAAAAGTAACCGTTTTTTTTTTACGTTGCAACCCAAAATGGCCGATCAGCGCAGTGTACCGGACATAGAGAGAACACGAGGTACAGCTGCTTGTAAGTGGAAGCAATACAGGCAACGAGAGAGATGGATGCCCGATATTTCCCTCTGTCTCTGTTTAGCAAAGCTGCAATTGGCTACTCATTAACCCCCCATATTCCCCAGTCAACAACAGAGCTCGACTAGAAAGAGACAGAGGGAACTACCTATTACCCATCTCACTCGTTACCCCTATTGCAAGGTTGGTTATATCTCTATGGTACCGGAACTGTGTCTACAGACAGAAATTTGTTATATTAGAAAAATTATCTGTAAGTCAATAACTGTATTGTTCATTCCTTAATTTTCCACCCTTAAGGGGATAATTTTCCTTCAAATATTTGAAACAGTTAAACGGACTTGGATGTATAGACAATCGTTAGACTTTTTAAAGCATCTCAAGTGACACTAGCTATAATTTATTTAAAAAAAAACAATTTAGCGGCTGTGTTCCGCCATTTTGAAATAAAACAAAGTTTTGGTTTAGCAGTCGTCTTTTTTATTTAGTAAATTTTTATTCCAAGTTGAGCGTTTAGTAACGACTGCAATTCTATCGCCGTTTGAACAAATTTTCCTTTCTCCAGACAACTGTCATCGTTGGCAGATTATCTGGTTACTCTACGCAGTCCATAGTCTGTACACCTGTGTTTTCGTAATAGTTCAATAATCTTGGGCACAAACCTTACGTTGGCGGGTCCGTCAGTGTACGGGAACTTAACAAATCGTCCAGTTGGTCATATTTACACATCTGTTACTTGGACATTTTAGTTCACAATTCATATATACACATGTACAAAGTCAACCAGTGTTTATAGAGACTGTGAGTGAGTCCCTCGCTGATGAGAATCTTGGATATTCATATGGAATCACACTGATTTGCTGTATCTCTTCACTCCGGTGGTTCTGGTTTAATGTCGAGAGGCGTGTGGTCAAATATTGAATAATCTTTACTCATATCCATGCTGAAAACAAAAAATATAAGTCATAATTCGTTACAGAAAGGAGCGAGGAGGAGAGAGGAGTAATTTTTTCTTCAAGTTAATATAGGACCAGACAGAAAATAAATCTTCCCAAATATAATATATAATTTTTCAAACCAGTTCTGAGTTTTGACTGAATCTCCTTTTGTGAAGTTGGTAAAAAAAACCACTAGCCAAAAATACTCACTCCTCGTCCACACATTCAAACTTCACTTCAAGCTGTGTTGTGTCAGGTGAGTCAGATGGCTCCTCTCGACCTGCTCAGAGCTGCACTCGACCTGCGGGAGATAGAAGAGTATCTCTGTGATAATCAGGTCATTATCAATGTGGTGAGGGATTAAGACTCTAGTGTCACCACCCCTATTCATCCCGTGGGTGTCGTAAGAGCCGACTAAGAGAGCAAATTATATATCAACATCATATTGGCTTGATTTCTTGCAGTCCGGTCGAGGAAGAGTCAAGTTCTGAGGAGAAATCCGAAGGTCATCACTCAGATGATGGGTAAGTGTAATACCAAGAAAGAAACTGAATCCCAGACCAAGGCAGCTGCACCTCCTAAATCTTGTACGCTTACGTATTTACTAATAAGTTCGGTTTAAAGTGTCCCCTCGGCGAGCAAAATCCCCTTCTGGCCAAAAGCTGGATACGTCAATAATCACAATTGTTCAGATTCCCTTCCCCAAGCAACTCCCACGTCTTCTAAAGAAAAAATAATTTCAGTCAAAAAGCGCAAAGTAGTCAGAAGATGGAGACGGGGAAAGTGGAAGTTGAAGATGATGACGAGGACCACAGGGATGCTGTAATGGAAAAGTTTAGGGTGGATATTGAAGTGACATCTTGCGAGTGAGTAAAAACCTTTTGTAAAATATAGATTCTGTGTTAGATTTAATCAAAGCTAATGTAATACACCTTAAGAGTTTGCATGTAAAGCAAAATCATGTGTAGGTATATAAATCTATATACAGGGTTACGTCTACCAAGATACTTCAGGGCGTTGTAGTAGCCATTATCCATAGTTATATTATAAATGCGAAAGTGTGTCTGTCTGTCTGTAACCTCTTCACGCTTAAACTGCCGAACCGATTTAGATGAAATTTGGTATTGAGGCTAGTCCGAGTGTCGGGCAAGGCTTATCCGAGAAATCGTCCTTAAATGGGGTGAAAGGGAGATGGAACTTTGTATGGGGAATCAAGAACCGCTGAACGTATTTAGATGAAATTTTGTATGTAGATACTTTGATTCTTGAGTAAAGCGATAACAGACATTTACACGGGCGGACAACCGTTGGGGAAAACGAGTTCTTGAGTGGAGACCGCGTCTCGGCAAACGTAGTGTAGGACGCCTACAGATGATGAAGATGGCTGGCAGGAGCTGGATGCGAGAAGCCCAACATCGATCTGAGTGGCGTGCAATGGGAGAGGCCTATGTCCAGCAGTGGACTGCGATAGGCTGATGATGATGATGATGACACTAATAGATTTCACTATGAAATATCATATCCCAAAGCTAACCATTTTCAAGACATTGAACTTTTTCTTTTTTTACTGTTTTTGTGTTGTTGATACATTGTTTTAAAATTTCCATTACCAAAATTTATTTTTGCTATTATTAACCATCTACTTCGACCCAGTTTGTTAATTACAATTTTAGTGACGGAAATTAAAAAACAATGTATCAAAGAACGTAAAACGTTAATGTATGGAGGGTAGAGGCAAGAAAAACCATCTCTGTGTATGAAAAGTGTCCGTAAAAACGCGTCCACAGGATAAATTTATTTTGGGTGAAATGATAATTTGACACTGTGTACTAAACTGCGAAAATATTCAATGAGTTTTACAGACAATAAATAAACGTGTAATAACTTTCAGACAATACAAGTGTTATAATATTTTAACTCAGCGCACTTCACTCCGTCTACAACGGCTATGTTCATATTGTAGATTTTCGTACACCAGCGACCTCTATGTTTAGTATGCATCTGGACACTTTTTAAACTTTACCCCATATGCGATGGTACTCCTTGCCTCTGCACTCCATAATTTATCGCGGACGCAGAATTTTATTTTAAAACCTAGAATCGCCTTATTATCGCTAGATGACGATGTAGCATGTTTTGGTGAAAAGCTTGCTTTATTAAAATACCAATTGTGTTATCACAGAACGGAGTCTGCAGTTCTGAACTTACTGTCAACAACACACTCTGATGTAACGGATGAACCTGTCGACTATCATCAGCAGTAAGTATTTTGATTTAATCATCTCATATAGACTTTTCTAAGGGGGATTTTGCCCCTATATAAAAAAGTCTAGAATATGAGGGACTAGCAGAATAAGGCTAGCAGGGTTTTAAAGCATTGGGTTTATGATCACCACGTCTGGTTGAGCGAAAACCCGTAAATACGTCCTGTACTGTTTTCTATGTAATATATATTTATTTACAAGAAAATAATTATATAATATTAAATATTCTATCAGTCAATCTAGCTTTCATAGTACAAATTCAGCTTAGTTTGGAACTAGATGGCGTTGTGTTGACGTCCGAAAAAATATTATCATGACCAGCTTATCGCAGAAAATAAATAATGAATGAACATTTTGTTATTTTCAGGACGAGCTCCGCTGTTCAACACCTGCTGTCTTCGGAACAGAGTGAGATAAACGAAGAGTCCAGCGATATTGAAAGCTGGCAGTAAGTAAAGCGTAACTTTGTGTGCGTACTCATTCGCAAACTAACGAGTCATTATCTCTTAGCCTACCCTTATCCATATTTCATTTGGGGTCGGCGCAGTATGTATGGTACTTCCATTCTACTCTATCATGCGTCATCTCACTGTTTATTCCCTTCCTAGCCATATCCTCACTCATACAGTCCATCCACATTTTCTTTGGTCTTCCTCTTCTCTTGTACCCTTCAACTCTCAAACCTAACACTTTCTGACAACATTTTCCTCATCCCTCCGCATGACCTGTCCATACCAAGATAACCTATTACTTCTTAACTTTACATCCAGTGGCGCTACTTTCAGACTCCCTGGTTAATTTACTTTTAATTAAACTTAAACCTACAAATACTATGCTACTATTAATACTAAAAATCTGTGTCGATCTACTCTCGATTTCAAAAAAATGTCATGAAAGGTATTCTCGTAGCAAAGTACTACTGAGACTAGCAGAATACCGATTCAACTTTCGTTCACAATACGATATAATCACACTACAGTCAACGTTGGATGATTAATTATTTTATACTATTATTACTATTATATTACTACGAGAATACCGTTTATGACATTTGTGAGATTCGAGAGTTGATCGGTTGAACGTATTTTATTACGAGAATTGGGTAAAGGAATACACTCGAAAACATAACCCTCTTTCAAGCACAGTCGGTTAAAAATACAACCGAATCACCTCCTCCTTTAATTACTTAGTCGTTTATGCTGTGTAGTATGTTATTTGGCAAAAATAACGCCCTTAACACTTATACAGATCGACATCAGCTGTGTCCCATGCACCTCCTGACGCAGTACCTGACCCCCTGAAGACAGAACTCTACGATGACGATTAAAAAAATCTTAAAAGCTTACTGTGTGTTACTATATATACCGGGCCTTCCATAAATTGCGTCACACGTTAAGGAGGGGCAGCGTCGACGAAGTGTGACAATCTCAGGAGGTCCTTAGTTTTGTTCCATCACGTTTCTTAACCTATGTCTAAGTATTAAAACGCGAAATTTGAATTATTAACAGTAATTCATCGTTTTTTGTTTTGTGGCGTCGCGTCGCCATGCCAACAGCCAATTTGACCCTCCGCATTAGATGTTTCACATCAAAAATAATTTAAAAGGAAATATAAATAAAAACACAAGGGACAAGGTGCTAAGACGGAGTGGGGGACGAGAGACCATAAAATTCGTGTGACGTTGTTTATGAATAGTCCTTGAGACCAAGGCTTTTAATACTTATGAGTTACCCGTTAGTGTAAGATGAATAAATGTATTAAGCTACAACAAATTGTATTTGAAATATGCTTTACTTAACATGTATTTTTTCTGCATACACTCAGGCTTTTACCCCCCGAAGGGGTCGGCAGAAACGTATCAAGTCCAGATTTTAGTCCCATTTCCGTAATAGGGGACTAGCTTAAGGTCGTCAACATTGCAGTTTATGAATTATATGGGGAAATTTGAAATGTACTGAGAAAAGGGAAGGTAATGGTGTCACCACCACCACCACCAACAGCCTATAACAGTCCACTGCTGGTCATAGGCCTCTCCTTAGAAAGGAGGTTTTGACCTACTATATAATGGTGTGTAATTTTTGTATTTTTAATTATTACATAAGTCTGGCAACACTAAAATATGTAAACTTTGATGACTAATAAATATTTAGGTCATCTATTTATTAATGTATGTTATATTCTATATGTATTACTAGTCATATCGTAATATGTACGTATAATATAATCAAATATATAAACATAGAAAACAAATCGCAAATATACTCAATAGTTTAAGTTGCATAATTTTGTTATTGTATGTTTTTTGTTGTTAATCATTTTAATGTTGTACTCTAAGCTGAATGTCGTGAAACTATTTGTGTGTAATGTGAAAAAATGATGAATGTCTATTAATAAATATATGAAAAGTAACCGTTTTTTTTTTACGTTGCAACCCAAAATGGCCGATCAGCGCAGTGTACCGGACATAGAGAGAACACGAGGTACAGCTGCTTGTAAGTGGAAGCAATACAGGCAACGAGAGAGATGGATGCCCGATATTTCCCTCTGTCTCTGTTTAGCAAAGCTGCAATTGGCTACTCATTAACCCCCCATATTCCCCAGTCAACAACAGAGCTCGACTAGAAAGAGACAGAGGGAACTACCTATTACCCATCTCACTCGTTACCCCTATTGCAAGGTTGGTTATATCTCTATGGTACCGGAACTGTGTCTACAGACAGAAATTTGTTATATTAGAAAAATTATCTGTAAGTCAATAACTGTATTGTTCATTCCTTAATTTTCCACCCTTAAGGGGATAATTTTCCTTCAAATATTTGAAACAGTTAAACGGACTTGGATGTATAGACAATCGTTAGACTTTTTAAAGCATCTCAAGTGACACTAGCTATAATTTATTTAAAAAAAAACAATTTAGCGGCTGTGTTCCGCCATTTTGAAATAAAACAAAGTTTTGGTTTAGCAGTCGTCTTTTTTATTTAGTAAATTTTTATTCCAAGTTGAGCGTTTAGTAACGACTGCAATTCTATCGCCGTTTGAACAAATTTTCCTTTCTCCAGACAACTGTCATCGTTGGCAGATTATCTGGTTACTCTACGCAGTCCATAGTCTGTACACCTGTGTTTTCGTAATAGTTCAATAATCTTGGGCACAAACCTTACGTTGGCGGGTCCGTCAGTGTACGGGAACTTAACAAATCGTCCAGTTGGTCATATTTACACATCTGTTACTTGGACATTTTAGTTCACAATTCATATATACACATGTACAAAGTCAACCAGTGTTTATAGAGACTGTGAGTGAGTCCCTCGCTGATGAGAATCTTGGATATTCATATGGAATCACACTGATTTGCTGTATCTCTTCACTCCGGTGGTTCTGGTTTAATGTCGAGAGGCGTGTGGTCAAATATTGAATAATCTTTACTCATATCCATGCTGAAAACAAAAAATATAAGTCATAATTCGTTACAGAAAGGAGCGAGGAGGAGAGAGGAGTAATTTTTTCTTCAAGTTAATATAGGACCAGACAGAAAATAAATCTTCCCAAATATAATATATAATTTTTCAAACCAGTTCTGAGTTTTGACTGAATCTCCTTTTGTGAAGTTGGTAAAAAAAACCACTAGCCAAAAATACTCACTCCTCGTCCACACATTCAAACTTCACTTCAAGCTGTGTTGTGTCAGGTGAGTCAGATGGCTCCTCCAGAGCTGCACTCGACCTGCGGGAGATAGAAGAGTATCTCTGTGATAATCAGGTCATTATCAATGTGGTGAGGGATTAAGACTCTAGTGTCACCACCCCTATTCATCCCGTGGGTGTCGTAAGAGCCGACTAAGAGAGCAAATTACGCAGGACAACAGCACTTCAAAGAGAAGGAAAAGTTGAAACAAACTCTAAACCAACCTGTTGTCATGGCAATCATGTTGGTGTTCTGAACATCACAAGTCTTTTAAGCGGATCTTGTATTTACTTACTCCAGTTCAAGTGGATCAGGTTTTAAATCCTCTAAACAGTCATCATCAGCGGGCTCAGTCTTAAATAGTGTCTCTGTTTCTTCTGTGGTTAAGGCTTGTTCACAATGAGGTTCACAATGTGGATGGTGGGACCAGGACCTAGGGCAAAGTATGAAATTAATAAAAATAATAGTCTAGGACTGATACTCTCTACTAAGTCATTATTTGCGTGCTAAGCTGCGATTGGCTACTTATTAACCTCTCATATAGCCAACCCGAAAGCTCGACTAGAAATAGATAGAAGGAACGATCCATTATCCATCTCTCTCGTTGCCTTTATTGCAAGATTGGGGCTCTTGTTCACTCTATGCTATGTTAAGCAACTCATTCGTTGCTTTTCACAGAGAGACTGAGGTTATTGGAAGACCAACCCCCCCTTTTCCCCGACTCCTGATTTTGGATGCACTCAAAAGGGCGGCAACACATTTCTCTTTACAAACATATATGAAACGACACAAAAAACACCCTGACGCAGAACAACAATTTGTGGATCACACAGTGTCGTCCCATGTGGAGATCGAACCCACACCACTCAGCGTAGTAGTAAGCGGCGTGGCGACCGCTTAAACCATTACGCCATCCGTGCAGTCACCTTGAGTTACGAGTATTCATAAGCAGCGGTACTTCCTTACCATCTTGTCAGCGCGTTTGCCCCTATAACATAAAACAAAACATACTCTGTCTCAAGTGGATCATCTCCTATCGCCGGTGGGCATTCATCATCAGTGGGTTCAGTCTTGTACTCCGTTTCCATCACCCCGTGCACTCTCAGCTGAATAGGGGACGGGAACCTGTAACATTTACACACATTATTATTTAAAGGCTTCGATTATCATGATGTCAATTTTATGTCTATTCAAACTGTTCTAGAGACACGTTTAAAAAAACCACAATTATATTAAAATTTTAAAAATATCAGTATAGTCCACGAGCCAGTAACAGATTTACAGGCGCAAGTATTACAAAGTGCATCACGAAGTTAGGTAGCATGAAGAAAAAAATTTAAAAATTATTTCCTACTAACTAAAAAAAAATTTATTAGGCCAAAAACTCCCTTTTAAGGAGCCTACATCCAGGAGTGGGGCTATGAAAGACTGATGATGATAAACTAAAACCTTGTTAAATGAACGATGATAGTTAGCGCTCAGCTACTGAGCGCTTTTCGAGACACTTTTTGCCCCGCACAACTAATCTGTGGGACGGGTTATCGTCTGCGGTATTTCCGGACCGATACGACCTTCAAAGCTTCAAGAAAAGAGCGTACTCCTTCCTAAAAGGCCGCAAACGCGTTTGTGACTCCTGAGTTGCAGACGTTCATGGGCAGCAATGGTCACTTTCCATCAGGTGACCCGTCTGCTCGTCTGCCCTCTCTAACATAAAAAAAAATGAACAGTATATTCATAAATTGCCAGTGAGAGCTCGCAGGCTGTGGATAAGACCATACATCATACTGTTGTATACAAAATAAAACTTGAAACTTTTTTTTTTAAGGAATTCAGCAATGGGCTAATAAAGGCTGTTGATGATGATGATATCGGTGAGGAGTCCACATCACCCATTATCAGTACTTACGGCAATTGTTCCTCCTCGCATGGTTTACTTCTGACGCTGATCCTAGTGGATCTTCGTTTGGGAGGTCCCATATTCTCGCCATCGTGTACTTCTCTGAAATTATCAAATTAAATATTAAGTATATTGGGCTGTTGGTCTAGTAATTAACGATCTTGAACGTAAGCCAGAGGTCGTGGGTTCAATTCCCAACCGGAACGAATATTTATTGTTACATTTAGTTCGTTGCGTTTAACGGGCTAGACTCTGGGACTACAACTCCAATTTGAAAAAAACTTTTGTGTTTCGATAGGCTTGATAGCCTAATTCATGGGGAATATGGTTCTTTCCACTTGAACCCCCTGCGTGGACACCCTAGAGGGTCCATGGACACTCATTATTACACTTGCACCCCCCTCAATACAGTCTTTGCATATAGTTGCCTGAGATCGCTTCACAGCGATTAAGCTGGTTATTTGTATTGTTTACAAAGCTAGATTTTAGTCCTCAAATGTAATGTTCTCAAGTGTACAATATCGGGGGGCTGAAGTTGAATATAAATTTAATAATTATTCTCGCACCACTGGGTTGGGGGACCAAGTGCAATAGTGTGCGTGCATGGACCCAGAAGGGTGTGTTAGGGAAAGCCTAGCTTCGTAAGATAGGGGCCGACTGGACCGGAGTGACAGCACAGCCTCACAGAAAACCGTGAGCACTCGTTCCTCGTTTGCCTCCTATACGATAAAAAATACTTACTCGTTTGTTGGTCGCTTACGACTCGGCACACTGCCCTTGCTCTGCCTGTTTTTTGACCTGAACGTACAATAATATGTTATTATTCATAATGTTACTGGTGATCACATATGATCTCTAGGGCCTATAAACATTTTAATATAATAATATTTTCGGACATTGACACACAACACCAGCTAATTTCAAACCAACTCGAAAGTTGATCGGAACTGAATTAAGACCGAACTTTTATTACGAGAATTGGCCTTCAGGTTACTATAGTACTGATGATATGATGATGATGAAGATGTGTCAAGTTATTATAATTATAAGTACTTACAGTAATTGTTCCATATCTCTGGGTTTATTTCTATTACTACTCTTAGTAGTTCTTTTTTTGGAAGGTCTCACTCTCTTGCCATCATTTCCATCATTCTCTCTGTAATATTAAAAAATAATAAAGTATAATTCCTAATAAAGTATAATTCCTATTTCTTTTGTAATTATCAAATGGTCGTTTTCTTTGAGAAATTAAAAAAGGGCCTTGATTCGGCCCCTGTGGTACTCCTCTTTTGATAATGTACATTGAATACTTATAAACCATAAATATTAGCTTTTCAACAGATTTTTTCATATTATAAAATAATTATAATAACTATTAACACTGGCACAAAAATGTAACAGTATACTTCTGCATCATGTAAAGTGGTATTATCATCAATTTTTGATACTGAAGAAACAGCCGAAAGCTTTCCATAAATCAAAAACCCATTTGGGTAATCTTCTCTCTTTAATATTAAGATAAATTATACAATACTGTACTTTAAAGTCAAATATTTTTGAGGTCCAGTCAAAACTGTATGTTCTATGTTCCACTTCTGTACAATAATAACTTACGACTTCATATGGTTTTATATTTTTTAATTTCTATATATGGTCTTTTATAACCATAGAAAACCTTATTATTGGTGTTGTAGTCTGGATGTTAATTGCTTACTATGTACCGTTGCATAATATTTTGAGTACTCACTGGTTTTTTTTAAGTGTGTGACTCTGTGTTCCACCTTTTCTGCGCATTCTAACACTGAAGCTAGCCATCTTGGACTTGGTACGGGTCGTATTTGTCCTGAAAAATAAAAATATTCCTGCTATGACGGTGGAGCAAAAAATGCTAAGGAATATTTAACTTATAGGTTAGGTTTCTAGTTACAAATTACAGGGAGCAAACAAGCAGACGTGTCACCTGTTGCAAAGGCAGATGTCTTCTGACAGCCTACCACCTTTGAGTAAGGGAGAGGGGGGGGGGGGGGGGGGGAGATATCGTCAATAGCCAAAAGATCTCCGATAGGGTCGATCCTGATTATTCGGACTAATACCGACCACAACTTTCCGCCATGGTCACACACGGTAATATTTTTATCCCCATCACTTGGATAATTCGCAATCCACCACTGTTCGCTTTTCAAGACACTTCTTGCCTCGCACAACCAATCTGTGGAACCAGTTATGTTCTGAGGTGAGGCCGGATCGACACGACCTTCAAATATTCAAGAAAAGAGCGTACTCCTTCCTGAAATGCCAGCAACGCACTTGTGACTCCCGAGTTGCGTGCGTTCATGGGCAGCGGTAGTCCCTTTCCATCAGATGACCTGTCTGCTCTTTTGCCCTTTCTTCCATAAAAAAAATATTGTTAAACACGTTTTCTGTGAGTTCGTGGTAACATTCCTGTCAAGCTAGCTTATATGGGCCGAAGCACGGCTCTTTCGTGCATGATAATAATAATAATATTTTCGGAAACCTGACACAACGCCATCTAATTTCAAACTAATCAGAACTTGTACTATGAAAGCTAGATTGACTGATAGAATACTTAAATACGTTTTTTTTGTAATTTGCATAGTTGTTGTATTATATATAGAAAATAACCAAACTCCGAAACACATATTTGCAGATCATATTTTGTTTGTTAAAAAAGACAACTCCCGCATTACGAATAAATCCTGTGTCGCGGGGGACTTTAAAAATATACATGAGACGGACACAAAGAACACCCAGACTCAGAACAACAATTTGTGGATCACACAAAGTGTCGTCCCATGTGGGGTTTGAACCCACAACACTCGGCGTAGTAGGAAGCGGCGTGGCGACCGCTTAAACCACTACGCCATCCGTGCAGTCATGAACGTTTGGTCCGACCCGGGAATCGAACCCGAAACCTCAGCACGGCAGTCGCGAGAGGGTCGGCGAGTACCTTGCGATCTCTTTGCCGTAGGTGTGGTCTGCGCGGACGGCGGCGCGTGTCCTGTGGTGGCGCAGGGCGCGCGCGAGGCTGTGGCGCGAGACGCCGGCGGCGGCCGCGGTGCGCGCGGGGATGTCCGACAGCGCGCTCACGTCGTACAGAGCCCCCGACTGCCTCTTCAGCCACTCGTACTCCTCGTTCAGGTAATGGTACACGTTGGCTATGATCCTGTAACACTGCGGGGATATTAACTACCTTTACAAATCATATATTAGAGAACAGACGTGCATTTTAAACTTGTTTAAACAACTTCTAACTAGCAATAAAAAAATATTTTTAGATTACTATCTATTCATGACCGCTCAATTCCTAGGGGTAACAGCGTGATATTAAATAGTTAATCACATAACCTACCTTATACCGTTCTATGATCTCTTCTCTTTCCTTCCTTTCATCTGTGGTTTGGGTATTCTAAAACAAAAGATAACTACATAAAATATTAAACAAAAAGAGTCATATTGAGAATATATCAAGCTTTCCAAAACGAGCAAACACGATTAAATATGAAGTATATTTCGAGAAGAAACAATAAGGGTTTGGGAACAAGCTATGAGAAAAACTAACAGAAAAAAAATACAGGTGACAAATTACCTATCTTTCTGACCTTACCTATATAATGAATTCATACTTATATTATAAATGAGAAAATGTGTATCTGTCTGTCACCTCTTCACGCTAAAACCGCTAAACCGATTGGTATTGATATAGTTCGAGTCCCAGGAAAGGACAAAGGGGAGGTTTTTATCCTAGAAATCATCCTTTAAGAAACACAATTATATTATATTATTATAAAGCAGAAGAGTTCGTTTGTATGGTTGAACACGCTCAGGAATTACTGGTTCAAATTGAGAATTGGCTTCTGCAACGTGACGTTATATAGGAAAGGGCTATCCAACACTAAAAGATTTTTTCATCTAGAACCAATAGTTCTAAAGATTAGCGCGCTCAACCAAACAAACAAACTCTACAGTGTTTAGTCTCTCACCTCATATGTTGTAAAGGTTGATGGGTCGTCCTCGTCGCTCAGAGCACTCTCCGTGGAAGAAGAATAAGTACACTGCAAAAGAAAAAATGGCAAGACAGGATGGACTACAAAGCCTTTTCTGCCAATCCCCCTTGAGTTGGGGTTTTGGTCTCCGATAACTACATTGTTTAACACTAGTTTTCTGTGAGGCCGTGTCATCCTAGGAAACTGCCTCTTCTAGAGTAGATTAATTTAAAAATAATTTATAGTTTAAAAAACTAAAAAATACGCTTTTGTATCTTCCAAAAAAAAAAACATTTTATCGTAAAAATGCGTCGGGTAGTCTCAATTGTTGTAAAAATATTTTATTGACAGATATTGGTAAAAGTGAAGTTACTATATTAAAAAAAAAATATCTTGAAAAGCACCCCACGATTTTTTACGATTAAATTATTTTTTGTTTAGTTACAGAAAATTATTTTCTACTTTGTATTTCGTCTAGTCACAAAAGCGTATTTTTTGGTTTTTAAACTATATTTTTTTTGGCTTTTTTAATAATTAATGATGACTAAAAAGTAACGAGTAAGTCACATATGCGTCAACACACGCCTCTAGTACGTAGCAAAAGATACAACCGTATTTTTTTTTATCTAAAAAGCCGTTAATCCTGAAGACCCTGGTCAGGATAATGGGCCAAAATTAACAAATTATTGTATTGCTACTGATAAGTGTGCGAAGTTTCAATTTAATTTGACGTTCTGAAGTGGGGGAAAATTTCGTTAGATACATACATACATACAGCCCAAAATCGAGCAATGGGAGAGGTCTATGTCCAGCAGTGGACTGCGATAGGCTGATGATGATGATACAGGTCAAGCTAATAAAAGCGTGTTAAAAATGACAATTTTTACCCCAAGAGTCTCACGCTCTACCTCATAAAAATAGTTACCTCAATCATATCCTCCGGAGCATTCGTGTTTGTCTGCGGAGCCTCGCTCTCGACCAAGTCCTTATCGCATTGACTAACTCCAGGCGATGTAATGGCATCTCTAGTCTGATCTGAAACAATATTAGAATATGTATTTTAAGACCATTTCCAAACTAGAAATTAATCCTATGACGACCATAATACATTTTCGATATGTATATTATTTTGCTATATATTTATTTTGCTTAGTATTTCACAAAACGGAGATTGTTGCTATTGTGTGTGTTGATCTATGACTTTAGAGTCTACACAAGAGACGATTTCAAACTTTTATGAAATAGATATTTTAAGTTTGAGTTTATACACATTCATGAAACCGACACAAAGAATACCTACGAACATACCTAAGAATATCTCAAACAAAAATTTGTGGAGGACACAAAGTGTTGTCCCACGACACTCAGTGCAGTAGGAAGCGGTGAGGTGACCGCTTAAACCACTACGCCATCCGTGCAGTCATTAATTTGGGAGATATTAAACACAACAGTAACAAAAGCTTTTTATCTTTATGCCGTAGGAAATTAAACGAGACAATTTCTTTTTTATCCTATCAGTTCATCTTTCATAATACGAGATCTGTTTAGTTTTGAAGTAGATGGCGTTGTGTATCAGATGTCCGTAAATATTTATTATTATATCAAAGCTAGTTGATATATTCGAAATTAACATTATGAAGTGGCACCGACTTCAATGTACCCACATCATGAATTATAATAAACTGTATTTTTCATTTATCGATTAACCCTAAATGGTGGTATTTTTGCTTACAATTTGCGCCCTCAATGACAGGAGAGTACAGCATGCTAAGGTTCGATTCTCACCCAGCACAAATATTGTGTGATGAGCACGGTCATTTGATCTGTCTGGATGTAATTTATCTATAATATGTATGTATTTAAAAATATACAAGTATGTTTATCAGCAGTCTGGTTACCATAGTACAGGCTCTGCCTAGTTTGGGGTCAGAAAGCCGTGTGAGCTCGTGCATGTGTGAGGTATATATTATTATATTTTTTAAATAATGTTGTTCTGAGGTGGGTAATGAAAAAATACAACCCTAATTGAAAGTTATCTTTTTTTAAAGTTGGTTAAATTAAATTAATTGATAGGCTATTTGACAACATTGAAAATATTCTCCAAATTATGGTAATCCTTTTAGACAATAGAATAGAAAAGCATCATCAACAGCCTTTACTAGTCCACTGCTAATAGGCATGATGACAGTGTTAAGGAATTATAGAATAAATGGTTTAAAAATAAAAAATATATTGAAAGGGTTCTACAAAATTACATAGTTTTAATTAAAACACCCAGATTTATATTTTAATAAAATAAAAGTATAAAATATAGGAATCGGCCATCTTAGCTGAAACACCAATCAGAGCGATTTACGTCACGCCTAAGTAAACGTCACAGAATCTTTCGAATTTTGTTTGTGTTTACGTTGTTGTGGCATCATTTAATTAGTTAATTTCTGATTTATTCATGGTTATTGTGATAAAGATAAAAGATCCAAGAATCATCTACGATGGAACAAGGTTATTAAGGCAAAAAGCTCTAATTTGCCCAGGATGGACTTGTTGATGTTGGGAGAATTTCTTTAATCTAATAAAGATTAAACAATTTAGTGTAGGACGCCCACAGGCCAGGTGGAGTGACGAGTCCCCGAGGAGCAGGAGATCCGAAGGGTCTTTCGGTTGTGCATTTTATTTGTACCTATATATTTATTAAAATGCAAACCGGTTTTTGGAAAAGCAGGAAGTACGAATCTGCCAAAAATTGATTCAATGATGGTTGCTAAGTTCTTTGCATGTAAAAGAGACTTCTGTTCTGCCGAATTCCGGAATGTTAAAACATCTTTGTAAGTATTACTTAATAATAATAATCTTCATTTATGCAAACACAACACACACAACATATTATTATACACGATTTCATGGGTATTTAGCTATTAAAACTAAATATCTCTGGCCCCCACACTAGGATTTCCTGTGTCGTGGGGTCCAGTCCCTTCCGTAAGTTTTAAAATAGTACTAAAAATGTAATGCATTTATTGTGTATGTTGTGCAGTTGTTATTTTCTTGTAACACGTAGAAAATTGTGATGTAAAAAAAAAACAAAAGAAAAACGACTTGTTATATTATACTGATTTTCTATGTAAGTTCCAGGTTATACCAAAAAAATATGTTGGGTCTTATGTGTTAGGTTATGTTTTATTCCCTACGCTACTACCAAATTACTGCCGTAAACCTGATGTAGATGATGTTGCTGTTGGTTCGACGTGGTCTTCAGATAGCTTGCTGTTTTCAGTCAATTGAACAAAATCCAGTCTTTGTATCTTTGTAAGAGTTGACTGGCTAGTACTTGGTGACAACCTGCATTTATTCTCAGTATGAAAACAAAATCTGGATGGGATAGTGTTTACTTTCATTTTAACATGTTTTACAAATCCCATTATTTTGTATTCCATATAATTCTCCATATCTTGTTCCAACTGGAATAATATTCATTAATTACTAATTTGTTGATGGCTTTCATAGTAATTGTAGGTTATCTTACAATCAACTTTATTTATACATTTACAGGAAGTATTATTAGATTTTAATTAGGGGTTTTACTTACATTGAAATGATCCTCGCATAAATACAGTCGACTTTTAGTTGATAATGACTTAGGATCTCGTTTTCCGAGTTCCAACCAAACATTCCTCATTTCAATATCATCTGGCACTTTCATAAACAACTTTTCTGGAGTTTTTATGCTAGTATTTGTACAACTAGACACTACACACCAACGATAGCGATTGTAATTCATTATTTTTCCAAAAAACACAAAATATTTATAGCTGTTAACGTTGAATGAGTGCCGGACGTACATACACGATTGTTTTTACCAATATGACGTCACTAAAATGGCTGACAGCGTTTTCGGACAGGTGTAAAATTTAATTTAATTGTACGACACGAAAACGTTATTGTGCCAAATTTTTTTTTTTGTGGCTTTATTAAGAAAATCAACATATTGAAGTAGGTACTTTTTCAAACAGTTGAATATAGTCATAAGTGTCAAAAGTGAACCATAGATTAAAAGATATGAAGTCAACAAAACAATCTCAATTTGTGGATTCCTTGGACTGATTTTAAGTGCGCATTTTTATGTTTTTAGAGTGTTTTACTTATTTTTTAAAGTATTTTCTAATAGATTCTGAAAAAAGTGATATAAGTATCTATACAAATACAAATTTTGTACGAGTCCAAACTGAAACATATTTATTTCATAAAATCTTTAAATTAAATATACGTATCGAAAATCTCTTATATGCCTGTGCCGATCTACAACCGCCCATTTCCAAGGGGTTCAGCCTCATGAGAAGAAGGGCAAACAAACTCACGGCCACTCTTTACAATCAACAGATAACAATGGCATCATTAAATATACACAACATTGTTTTGACGTGTGCCCGTATGTAAGTTAAGCTAATAGCAGAACTGTTCCTGAAATAGGCGCATTTATGATTGCACTTACATTGTTTAAGAATAACGCTAATTATTATGCTGCAGAACTTAAAAATGTGAAAACAGTAATTTATTTGCTAACATTTGTTATAACAAAATAAAATTGTAACATATTTTGAATAACACCAGATTTTTATAATATGTAAATAAAAAAACCATTTAGTGATTCTAGTTTTATTAGTTTAAGTTTTCATTATTCAGATACCTATAGTATTTATTTAATAAGAGAATCCTGCAATTTTTTTAAAGCACCTGCAATAATAATGATATGGCGCCAATGAAAGTAAGTATTTATTACTGAATGTTGTTTTAAGCTTATGGAATTCTCTTAATTTAACACTCAATGAGAATTCGTAAGCTAGCAATTAGGAGCCCACAGGCCAGGTGGAGTGACGATTTAACGACGTGGAGCGCTAGATGGCTGGCAGGAGCTGGATTAGAGAAGCCCAAAATCAATCTAAGTGGCGTGCAATGGGAGAGACCAATGTCCAGCAGTGGACCATGATAGGCTGATGATGAAGCTAGCGATTCTTTTTGTTTGTCGAACCTCCATTTTCGATAATTTTGCACCAAGCATTTACACTGGGTGGCCTTAATAGTTTCATGCCTTTTTCCTGGAGTTCTAGGTGCTTAAAGCCTGTTGGCTAAAATGCAAGTTCCCTGTGGTAATATGCCTAAAGAGTCAGATTTCGACTACAGTAACATTACTTTCTGCCTACAAATCCTTGAAAAACATAATTAACTAAACCATTAGGCCTTCAGAATATTGAGTACTACACAGTGTTCTCCCTTTTATACTCTGACCAAGTCAGTGCCTGATGAGGAGCCTTTGAAGGTTTCTGTATTTTTTTTTCTGTATAATAGGAAGATTCTTTTTTATTTATTTCTTATCTAAACACAATAAAATGATTTAAAACGCTACTTATTATTGATATGTTTGCTGGACATATTTTTAATGGCATAACACATTGATACACCAAATTTATACTCTAGTTCAGAAAATGTGTTATTTTGTCTAATTTTTTTGAAGCATAGCAAAATGTGTTCTATTTTTATGTTGACGACTTGATGCGTTATCTGAACTATAAAATAACATTCTTTAGTTATGCCAACATACATTAAAGGTTTAATTTTGATTAAGTGCATAGTATGTTTAGAGCACTGCAATTTTTTAATATTAAGCATATCGGAGTCAGTAACTTTTGATGAGGATGTAGGCAAAAAAGGTGATGAATGACCACTGTCAAATTTTTCTTCTTGTAAGACTATATTCCTCATTACTGCTTTAATAACTCCTGACTGTGAAGGTTGAAGAAAGCATGGTTCAATCTTAAATGGTGCAGTGAAACGAGATGAAGTTGACACTTTTAGTGGTAAGGTAGAAATATTTTTATTGTGACATGTGAGACATTGTGTCAGGAGAGGCTTATGTCCAGCAGTGGACTATTAAAGGCTGTTGATGATGATGATGTAGTTGGCACAGCTGTGCTCCGATAATATACTTTTAGTTTTGTAATAACTTGAAAAGCTTTTTCTACAATTGAAATAAGGTCAGTGTTTGTTTATTTTCTTTGTTTGTTTGAGACTTTATTAATGCTGAAAAGACAAATATTCAAAGTTAATTAACTACTTCATTTAAATGAAATGGAAACATAATTTCACAAAACATAGTACCAACCATCAGTCTTAATACCGTCCATATTGTTTTCATTCTGTGAACTTTCAGTGTTGATTTCAGTAGCACTTTGACAGTCTGTGACAAGATCAATTCTTTGCCTCCTTACCTGATGTCTCTGGAGAAGGTCCTGCAGCAGATAGCCTTCTTTTGCGTTCATCTTGACAATAGAGTTTAGAGGGCACAGCCTTATCTGCCAAAAGTATCTTTTGACTGAAACCCATTTTATATTTCATGTAATTGATTGTGTCATGTTCCATCTGCAATTCAACATTACTGTTGTTATAACAAGTATTTACTATTAGGTTTGGATATAAGGGACAATACATTTTAAATTACAAAAGAGAACAGAAAGATGGACAATTCACAAACAGAAAACATTTGATATCCTACAAAATGGGGAGTTGCGGTATATGTAGGATTGAGGACTATTTTAACTTATGCTGCAAGTTTTGGTTATGCTAAGAGGTGAAGTACCTAGGTAAATATTTTAATTCGTTTTCATCATCATCAAAAGCCTTTAATAGTCCACTGCTGGACATAGGCCTCTTCTTAGTAAGGAGGTTTTGGCTTGCTAAACCCGCTGGCCAGACGGGTTTTGGTATAGGATTTGTGTCAAGTTTTCCTTCTCTTTGTATTGTCGGCTTAAACAAACGGCATGAATTGGGGTGGTGACGTTCCGTTCTGAATCCGTCACCACACGGATATTTGTATTTCGTTTTGTAAACAACAATATTTTTATCTAAATAATAGGTACTTACGTCAAGGTGGTCTTCACACATGAAAACATTTGAATGTGATGCAATACTGTTTGGGTCTCTTCCAGCTAATTGTAACCACAATTTTCGTCTTTTGGGATCCGTTGGCACAGAAACAAACAGTTTGTGTGGAGTACTTTTAGATTTATTTTTACATTTTGACACTACACACCATTTATACGCCATTTTATCTAATATATCTTAACAAAAATAATGAAACTCGCTTTATAAGCAGCAGTTTTGTTTATGACATATGTCAATTATTGCCCTTGAGTAGGTGACTGGCGTGTGACGTCAGGGCACGTTTTTGCCGCGGTTTTAGAAATTCATACCTTAACAGCGATTCTTAAATATAAATAGGTTTAATTGCCCGGAAGTATGTACAATATCATGTATAGAATAATCTAAAACATTTTCTAAACTTAATCAAATAGCCTATTCAGTAAATAGACAGCCATTGTAGTTTCAGATGAAACCAAACAATTTACATATATGAGATTAAAATTGTAGTCAAAATGTGGACATTTTGATTCAGCTCTCCTTATCTTTTAGAAATAAAAGACAAGATTGAAAAGACAATTTTACTTAATAATAAAAGAAAGAAAAAGAAAAAAGTATCTTCTTTCCTCAAGAAAAAAGTATCTTCATGAAAAATTTCATCTAAATCGATTCAGGGGTTATTGATTCCTCATACAAACTTCCACCCCCTTTAAGGATGTTTTCTGGTATGAAAACTATTAAATGTCCTTTCCCGGGACTCCGATGAACTCTACTAAATTTCATTGGTTCAGCGGTTTCAGTGTTTACATAAAGAATGAAAGACAGGCAAACTTTTGCATGTATAATATTAGTATGAACATGGATTTTGTTTAATTAAAATATATATTAATCAGCAGTCTGGTTAATATAGTACAGGTTCTGCCTATTTGGAGATCAGACGGCTGTGTGTGGGATATGTGAAGGATATATATTTACTAGATTGACTAAATCATCTTTTATACAAACATGTGAATTTTACATACCGTTTAGCTGTACTCCACATACCTATCACACAAACATCCCATATTCATATTCACACATTCATACAAACATTGCAAGTTAAATAAAAGCTTGTAAAATATAAATATTACTGCAAAAAACAGAAAATATTTACAATAGATTACTTTCCCAACAAACAATTGGTGCTTGCTTTGGTTCTTGGTTGCTAGTATACATTTCATTTACTTCAGTGCACTTGTGTACTTAATATAAATGTAAAATTACCTTCTTCTATATGATATTGGATTGACTCATTAGATATAGTTCTTAGGCTTTCAGCTGCAGCGAGATGAAATTCATTTGAAGTAGCCTTATGTTTTTTATTCCAATTAAATCTGGAAGGTATGCAATGCGGTTTTAATCGAATTCTTTTCACGGAACCCATTATTTTATATTTTATATAGTTCTCCATGTCGTGTTCCAACTGCAATGTAAGATGAAACTTATTGTACAAGATTCTATAACCTCCAAATATATATAGGTACCTACTTTCTTATATAAACTATTGTAAAAGATATTTTAGATAGGTAATGCATTTAAATACTTACATCAAAGTGATCTTCACAAAAGTACAAACGAGTTTTTTTAGATAACGATTTGGGATCCCTTTTCGCAACTTTGAACCAAGTTTCTCTCATATTTATATCATTTGGCACTTGAATCCACAATTTGTCCGGTGTTTTAACACTAGTATTCTTGCAATCAGCAACAGCACACCAACGATAAGTAGAATAATAACTCATGTTTTTATTATAAACAATTATTAATGTCATTCTAAATATTAAAGCATTTGTTTACACATCTAACTGACGTCAAGTGTCAAAACCACAGAGCAATATGCCGTCCACTGCGAACAGCGTTTTCGTCGAATTACGCGCGAAATTTGAATATGTAAAAGTAACATTTCCACTGAATATTTTTTTTGTAGTTCATTATCACTATAGATAATTGTAACTTTAAAAAAATGGGTGCAATATTAAATAAATATATAAATACTGTATTATATAAGTGACGTCACGAGCAGATGCCATTGTACAATGCAACACAGGCAAGCACTTTAGCGCGAACTTGTAAACTACTACTGAAATCAAGATTTATTTTTGTCAGAGGGGGCAGACGAGTATACAGGTCACCCGATGGCAAGTGACCATCGCCGCCCATGAACGTCTGCAACTCAGGAGTCACAAACGCGTTGCCAGCCTTTTAGGAAGGAGTACGCTATTTTCTTGAAGGTTTGAAGGTCGTATCGGCCCGAAAATACCGCAGACGATAACCCGTTCCACAGATTGGTTGTGCGGGGCAAAAGTGAGCAGAGCGCCAACTATCCAAGTGATGAGGATGAAAATTTTGTTGTGAACGAGAAACGATGGCGGAAAGTTGCCTCGGAGCACTCTCCATGATATATGCGATAGAGAATGCAGAGTGTAGCCACATCTCTACGTAACGCCAAGAGATCGAGCCGATCGGAGATGTTTGGGCTATCGACGATTAGAGTCGCTCTTCGTTGGATGCGGTCAAGATGGAGAAGGTGGTACTGAGGTGCCCCTGCATAGAGATGAGAACAGTATTCCATATGCGGCCGGACTTGCGCCTTATAGAGCTGAAGGCGGTGGGCCGGAGTGAAATACTGACTCTGTTCAGCATAGCGAGCTTCTTCGAGGCCAATTTGACCTTACCCTCTAAGTGACCCCGAAACTGGACTTTGCTCGATATGTCGATGCCCAGGATTCCGATGCTGGCTGAGGCAGTTAGGGAGGTGCTCTCAAACTGAGGTGATACGACAAACGGTATCTTTTTTGGGGTGACCTGTGTATTTTTTGGGTTGAACTGGACTAGATTTAGTCGGCCCTAAGTTTGTTTTGACTGTCGATGACGTTTTCCCGAGAAATATGCACGGATGCTATAGTGTTGTAAGCGGTCACCTCGCCGCTTCCTACTGCGCTGAGTGTTTCGATCGAGTGGGGGTTCGATCACCGCATGGAACAATACCTTGTGTGATCCACAAATTGTTGTTCTTTGTTTGGGTGTTCTTTGTGTCCGTTTCATATATGTTTGTAAAGTCCCCCGCGACACAGGAATATATTCCTAAGGCGGGAGGTATCTTTAAAAAAAAAAGAAAAAAAGAAATATTGAATATATTATATCATCTTCATAGCAATGGATGCTACTAAATTGCAACAAGTCATTGATATCGACTAAGATGCAATTTGGTATTGAGATAGTTTGCTTCTTGAGGAAGGTCATTGGCTACTTTTTACCGCGATAACCGACTTGCACGAGGGCGGAGCCGCGCGCAAAACCTAGTATTATATATGTATTACTAAAGTCATATTGTATGTTAAGGAACGGCTGTAAACGTCACCATACAATCGCGTGTGACAAAACTTACAGCAAACAAAACCTCCATCTACTACAAAATCTTACTTCAAAAGTAAATTATTATGTAAACTTTACTAGGTAGTAGACATGGCAATTACTGCCACCTTTAATCATATACATTTGATGATATGATTGGTTTTGGTCACTGTGATTTCACATGTGAAAAAGCACTGCTTAGATATGCTAATAGACAAAGATTTAAAATCAATCAAATCGAACTCTGTTTGTTTAGATTTAGACCTTTTGCTTGTCTGGCACCAGCGTAATTATAATAATTAGTCGCAGTGATGTTGTAGATGAGACAGGTGAGAAGAATTAATTGTAAAATCATATAATTAATCACAGGTGATCTCGATTTTCTCCCATGCCTACTAGGTAGGTACCTACCATTTATTACTCTCATAATGATTTCGTAACGATTTCGTCTAATTAAATAAATATATGTAAGTACCTAAGTACATACGTTAGTTATGTTAGTTTATGTACTTATTTCAATAAAATATTCTCAAATCGCACGTTTACTGGTTACAAAACCATCACACCGTCCATTCGCCACTGCGGACTGGTTGTGTATCGAGTGATACCCTTAATTGCAGAAATTCAAGTCAAAGGTCAACATTGTAAGAAATATGCTACCTTTTTTGTGTAATATTTGCGCCTTATTTAAACCGTTTCTTTCTGGTGATGATAGTGGTTCAATATTATTTTGACACTTTCTTCCAGCTGAACGCCAGCATGTATGACACACTCTGGTTAGATAAGGTACCTAAAATGAAAATATTGATGAGAATTGAGAGGAGCAATGAGAACCAAAAGAAACTAAGACAACCGTTCGGTGTAATGGTTAGGGTAACAAAACGGGTAACAGGTCAAACATGTATGTATTTACAAAAAAAGTATATATGTATCCCATGTTCTGTGTCTGTATTTATCTATCAAATGAATGTATTTCCTATTATATAAATTTGTATATCAGCAGTCTGGTTACTTTAAAACCGGTTCTTTCTAGTTTGAATTAGGCTGCCGTGATAAACATGAAAAAGTATTTAACTATTCTAGCTCCAAAAGCTTTATATAAAAGGATTTAAGTAACATCTAAAGCTACGATATAAGTAAAAATATTATTATTAATATAAATGTTTTGAAAACATTTTAAATAATTAGATTAAATTTTACACTATCTCATTCCATACTGTAATATATAATTATGTTTACTCTGGCTTGTGAGCATATGGACTAACGTCAGTTCAACCTGGTTCAAATGTCACGCATGTCAAAGGTAAGTACTTAGTACCCATTGTGAGCATAATCATCAACAGCCTTTAACAGTTCACTGCTGGACATAGGCCTCTCCTTAGAAAGGAGGTTTTAGCCTTAGTAGGCCAAAACCTCCTTTCCACCACGCTGGCCAGACGGGTTGGTTTAGGGTTTGTTTCAAGTTTTCCTTCTATTTGCAGCGCTGTTGTCCTGAGCAGTTTGCGTCGTCCCTGTCGTCCCTTACGACACCCACAGGATGAACAGGGGTGGTGACATTCCTTCATCTTAATCCGTCACCACACAGACAATAATAAATACTGCAGTAAACATAATGAATACTGTTTACATAATTATATGATAAAGTATAAATTAAATATGCATTAAAAGAACAATACGTACCAAATGGGGTGACATCTGACCAATTATAACATTTCTTACTGAAAAATTATGCTTTAATAAGTGAGTGCGAGCCCGGAGAATTGAAATACCACAACCGTAGCAAACACTACGGTGGCCAAACATGGGTGGTGGTACTGGCTCACCTTCAGGTATGTGAAACAGCATTTGAAAACACTCGAAACACAAAACATCATCAGAAGACACCTATAAAAATGGGGACCTTTAATAAAATGTATTTAATTTACACTTGTAATAGAAAGAAAGAAAAAATGTTTATTTTGGCAATAATACAACAGTTTTAACAATTTTGCAGCTTAGATTACCAACAATGCCAAAAAAGGAACCCCATTCGTCTTGTGTCAGATGGAAGCCCGTAATACAAGTTATGATCATCAAACTATGCCAAAATGTATGAGTTTTGGTAGTGTAGTCTGTGTAGGTGGATAGGCATGGTCTTAATGCTGTTATGCCCGTTTTCACCAACATCCCCTAAATTTTAAGGGCCACCTAGAGCAAGCTAGGTAACCCTTAGTGATATTTTCGTTTTCACCAACCTTTAGGGGACACCTAAGTGCTTAGGTGTCTCTTAAAACTTAGGGGCCCGAATGTTGACCACCTAACTAACCCCTAACAAAGTGACAGAGCAATTTGACGCAACTTTTGTTTAAAATTATTGAAATGGACGATTTATGGGATATTTTCAATACTGTTGAGACTTTAGAGATGATGAATAATCCTAGGTTATTCAATAGACCGAGAATTTACCGTGACAGACCGGATTTATTTACAAAATATGACGATAAAGATTTTGTTACAAGATTTAGGTTAACCAAGGGAAGTGTTATCTTTTTATTAAATAACATTGAACACATATTGGAATATCCTGATGACAGGTAAGTGATACAATTATTATTTTCGTAAGACTAGTTATATTAAGTTTGGACGAAACCTAGGTTTGCCTAAAAAGAAATAAGAAAAGAAGGAAGAATGAAGAGTAGCACGTAACTAGGACCGCCTGCAGTCAGACAAAGGCTTTTCTGAGGTGTGTGGTTCACAGAGAGTGTACTTACTGGTTTTGGGACAGATGGGAATACTTAAAGGGCTCCGGGACATTGATTTCACCCAAAGAAACACAACAGTTGGTGCGGGCACTGTGACTTTGTCTATACATATATTTTATTTGAAATGTTGATGGTCCCTACCCTGGTCAAACCGTTTAACAAGGGTTTTTCTTTATTTTACAGGAACAAATCAGTGCCACCTATAAAACAATTACTATGTGCACTGAGGTTTTACGCTACGGGTAGTCATTTGCAAACAGTATCTGATATGGGCGGCATCAGTGTTAGTACTTGCAGCCGTATTATACGGAGAGTCTCTAAAGCTATTGTAACATTATATAAAAAAATCATAGTATTTCCAGAAACAGAACAAGAGCAAGTTACAGTAAAATCAGATTTTTTCAAAATTGCAAAATTCCCCAATGTATTGGGTTGTATAGATTGTACACACATAAAAATACAATCACCAGGTAAACATCTAAAATTGTATTGAAATAATATTTAAGTCTAGAGCAATGAAATCATTCTAATTTAAATAATTTTATGCTTAATAGGTGGAGATGATGCTGAATTATTCCGAAACAGGAAGAGTTACATGTCCATTAATATGCAAACCATCTCTTCTCCCAACTTATTAATCACAGATATTGTTGCCCGGTGGCCAGGGTCTACTCATGACTCAACTATTTATCAAAATAGCAGACGGTATGAGAGATTTGAGAGAGGAGACTACCAAGGCTCATATTTATTAGGAGATAGTGGATATCCTTTGAAGGTAAATAAAAGTCAAAAGTAATTTATAGTTTATAATTATTTTTTTAAATCTTTGTCCTGAGTCCCAAATAGATGTTGAAGAGCTAAGCCACCACCTGAAAACAAATAATACTATTATTATTATAAAAATCAGTGTAAGTTTTTACTTTGAAATTAAATCTGTTAATATAGATAATAATACTCATAGGTCATATTACATTTTTTCAGAGCCATTTGCTGACTCCATATTTGAACCCAGCCACAGTAGGTCAACAACGCTATAATACAGCCCACATTAAGACCAGAAATGTAGTGGAGCGTCAGTATGGTGTTCTTAAAAGAAGGTTCCCGGTACTGGCTTTGGGATTAAGGCTCAAATTACAAAATGCTATTAATGTCATACTAGCCTGCTGCATTTTGCACAACATATGCATTTTAAGACAAGAACCTGAGCCAGTAAATGATGGAGTAATACCAAATTTGGAACATTTAATACAAGCAGGACAGATACCTCTACCAGCTTTGATTAATAATGACCCAGTATACGGCTATCAAAGGAGCCAAATTACAAATTATTTTGAAAGTATGAATTAATTTTAATAAGATAGAAGATGATTATGAATAAATAAAATTACCTCTAACTTGGTCCAGTACAGCTTGTTTTATTTCTATTTCTAGATCCTTAATAATGATATCTTTTTCTGCCGCTTGAAGCTGCAATTGGTTCAATTTTTGTTTGGCTTCTAATTCTTCTTTGAGAATCATTAGCTTAAGATTTTCCACATCTTCTTTTTTTTTATTTACATTCTTATAACTAGAAGAAATTGTATTCATTGCATCAGATCTCTCATTTGTATGAGATGATACAGGCCGTCTTCTTGACCACACTGGTGTCCTGGTAATAAAGTTTTCTTTTGGAACCTCATCCTAAAACAATAACATCTTATGTAAATTTACTTGGTATACAAGTAAAATTTTATTCTTGTTGACAAATCAATAGTTTTTAAATTCAATTTACAACACAAAAAATATTAATAAACCTTCATTGAAATAAGTTCATTTATTGGAGTGCATCTCAGATCACAGGACAAGAAGTATTTTTATAGAATGATTACCTCTGGCGTTTCTGGAACTTCAGTTACTAGCTTTATAGTTCCACTGTTTGTTAAGTCATCAAAAACAAAGATTTTAGGAACACTTTCCTCTACACTGATGGTGGTTTCAGCTAGACAAGTTGGAGCATCACTGTCATTTATGCCATCTATACCAGAACAGCCCCGACCTAGAATACTGCACACCTGTTCTAGTATAGGGTCAGTCTTTACTAAAGATGGTCCACCACCCGTTTGAACTGCACTCCTTCGTGAGGAGTTATAATACACTTTGCTCTCACTCTTCATTTTTTCCCATACTTTTATAAGTGATTCCTTTGTCCTAAAAAGGAAAAAATACAAATACTTAAGATAAAAAGTTCAAACGCAATGAAATAACTTTAAAAAGCATCTTACATCATACCTGTATACAGTGCCAGTAGCATTAAAAGATGCCGTAAGCTGATTCCAAGCTAAGATCTTGGCTTCGTTCGTACATCCATCAGTTTTTTTGTTTAAAATTGTATTTTTATGATCCATTAATAACTTCACGAGTTTGTCTTTCTCTTCCGATGTAAAGTTTTGACTACGTTTCCTTTTCTCGGCCATTGTTTTAAAAAATATAAACTATATTTACTCAACTCAACTCAACTTTTGGTTAATGGCTTTGTGGTTATATTTACTTTAAGACCCTAACGACTATTTATTTTGTCAGTTGTCAGTTTGACACTTTGAAGCATTGGAATTTACATTTTTCAGCACCAAATTACAAAAAAATGATAATTAAATCTTTAAATATAGAAAAAGTATTTCATTTCACATAATGTTTTCTTATTAAGTAATAATTATTATTTTAATAATTTTATATTGCAAAAAAAATACAATCGGAAAACACTTACGCAAATTTACGGTTTATGAAACCCCTACAAAATAGGAGACCCTTAGTTAGGTGTCACTTAGCATGGTGAAAACGAAATTAGATAAGAGTTGTATTTAGGGGTTACCTACGTTACGGAACTCCTAGTAAGGAGATGATTTAAGTATAGTTGGTGAAAACGGGCATTAGTGTATTACGAAAGATTATTATTTTCAGTGAACAGTTTAACATATGCAGGGAAATCATGACAATATGCTAATTAAAATCCAACATGAACTACCAAATGTGTATTCCCGACAGACTTCTGGTTCCAAATAGACTAAAATACAGATTTTATAAATACAAAAAAATGATAAGGTACTTTCATATTATATGTTTTATATAAAATAAACAAAAGGTAATTTTATTTTATGCATAAATATAATTTTTCTATTAATATCTATGGATTTATATGTACCCACACATTCAATAATACCACTTATAAAAAAATAGTTTGTACCTTAAAAACATCACCGGCTGTTATGACCGGAGTCATTTCTATGTCGTTATAACAGATTTTGACTGTGTTTACATATTATAGTGAAATTATCAGGCCAAAACCTCCTTTCTAAGTAGAGACCTACGTCCAGCAGTGGACTATTAAAGGCTGTTGATGATAAATAAATTACACCCCACAAAGCAATTTAACAAAAGTTAACTAATAACATTTTTGAAATTACTAAATTACACCCAGAGACAGACCAAATTATTGTGCTCATCACACAGTCAGGCTTACTAACCACTAGGCCAACAGGCCCATCAGGCCCGAGTGGAACTGTATTCATGAGATAGGTACTTACCGGGGTTGGTGATATCCAAGCACTAAGAATATTCAGCATTGCCTCAGTTGCATCTTGCAACGAGTGACGGCGCCGGTGAATAACTTTCAATGAACAGTTAACACACCGCAGGCGAATAACGTCCATTGTGGTATAGGTTCTGTTTACCATCACAAAACTAAAGAATCTCGAATATTTTCGATTGCTATATTTACGGAGGAATGCGGGGTTCAACTCGATGTGAAGATAATAGACAAACGAATAACAACTATAACAATCACAAACTTCAAATTCAACTTTTGGTTAATGGCTTTGTGGTAGGAACAATCACTTCAACTTCAACTTTTGGTTAATGGCTTTGTGGTAGAGTGTAACCACAATTTTAGAAACAATCACAAAAAGATTGAGATTTGTGACAGCTTCGGTGTTGCCAGTTATTTAATATCGGATTTGAACTTAATCGCAATCCATTATCGATTAGTATTATTTTTACTTATTACATTCTAGTTTATAAGTTTGTACTAAACATATGGCAGCGCTACTTTCTATTTTGCCGGTTTTGTTGATTCCACAGTTATTTCGAACCAAAAATGAAGAGTTAAACTTTCCACTCAGCGGGAATAGAACAGAGCAACGATTTGACATCAACTGGATTGTATTGGATTTGGATTTTACTGTCAAAAAACCCTTTAAAATTTTGCCCCGTCCCTGGAACCGAACCCACTAAGGCAGCGCTTTTTAAATTAAACGCGAAAGAAAACACGGGAACCAGCTTGTACCACATTACAAAAAACCGGTCAGGTACAAGTCGAACTCATGCGCCGAGGGTTCCATACTTACCCAGATTTTCGCGAAAATTTATCTTAATTTTCATTTTATTTTATTTTTAGGAATTATTCCTTTATTTGTGCTGTAAGAAGTTTCTTTTTTCAAAATTTTGTGAATCTAGGTCAACGGAAACTATCATATAGGTTTTCGACCCAAAACCTATAGGGTACTTCCGGTTGACCTAGAATACTCAATTTTGGTTAAAAGCAAGGTCTTACAGCACAGGTAAAGAGAAATTTCTGTAAAAAAGAGAAAGTTGAAAATTAAGGTAAATTTTGGTACTTACAAGTTTTCGCGAAAATCGAAATTTGCCGATATCTTTTTATCGTGTTGACCCAGGACCTTGATTTTTATACGCCTAATAGGGACTTGCTAGGTTAACCCGTTCTTGAGAAAATCGGTGGTGACACACGGATAGACGGACAAGAAAATGATCTTATAAGAGTTCTTTTTTTACCTTTTGAAGTACGGAATCCTAAAACCAATTGATGTCCTACAGAGCAGTGGTGTTACGGTCAATGAAGGGTTGAAAGGATTTTTCAACTTCTGCTGCAAGATTCAGCTTGTAAAAGATGTTATTCCGTTTTATGGTCCGTCTGGTCCGTCTGGCCTTTTCCCTAAACTAGGTTGGGGTCGGCTTTAATATATTACGAGCTGTGACCGCCGTCAGACCTCTATCGAAATCTTGTAGACAGACTGTTGTCAGACGTTTTAAGGCTCCAACTCCCCGTCACGATTGCCACAGATGTTCGAATAGCAACTGGGACCGTTAGGCCGTCGGTTCATATTATAAATGGCGATATTTTTAGCTACTAACTACTAGTTAAATAATAGGTACTTACTTTAAAATGATCTTCACCCCACACATGAAAACATTGTAATAGCAAAAAATCGTTTTAACTGAACTGTTTTGTTGTCATTTCGTTGTTCTTGTTTACTTGCGTATGACGTCTTGCATGTTATGTGTAGCGCCACTATAGAAACAGCGTTTTTGCCGCGGTTTAAAAAGTTTTAACTTTATTTTAAAGAAAAAAAAAAAGTAATATGCGTATTATAATATATAAAATAATCTAAAAACAATTGTGTAAAATTTGTCAAATAGCCAATGTTCTCGACTAATCTGGGAACTGCTTGCTTGACAGCAATAAGCTGGTCTTAAATTTATAAGTCGAATAATTAGACTGGAATCATTCATAGTCGCGCATCGCTAATCCTGTATCATTTTTTTTAAGGCCAGGTAGTAAATGTCGCACCTTTATTCATAAACTGAATTAACTTAGAATTTCAATATTGTGAGAAATCGCATTTAAAGTTTGACATTCATGTACGTGCGAGTTCGTCAAAAAGAGAACGACGATCTCTTATCTCTGCCATTTTCATGGTATCGAGTCGGCTGTTGGATTGTTCGTGTTCTACTGATGAAGTTGAT